CTCATCGCCCCACGGCAGCAGGAAGTAGCTCTGAAGACAGATCATCGTCCCTCCACCCGTCCTGGACTTTTGGGGCCGCTGCAATCCCAGTCAACACCTGCTTTATAAGAAACAAAAGGGGAAAATATTAGTGAAATGGTGCAGTCTTATCTGTGGCGCCATCTATGCCCCGGACGCCATCTTAGGCTCTGGGCCCTGCTGCCATTGCTACAAGCCAGGTGACCAGACGGCCCAACCACAGGTGTCAGCTCCACCCCCACCCTAGTGGGATTCGCTGCTTCTATCGCCCTGCCCCCTGCCAAGGTATAATAGGACCTGCTTCCCGCCCCCCCCCCCCCACGTTGTCCTGGTTCCTCTTTCTCTCTCTTGACCTCTCCCCCACCCAACAATAAACCTCTCTCTTAAAAGAAAAAAAAAAAGAACTGCAAATGAGGTCACATGGGAAGCTGGCCAGGCCTGAGAGCAAAGAGGCTTGCAGATGAGAGAGGAGGCCCGTGCAACTCTTCCAAGGGAGCAGGGGATCTGGCCTCCTGCAGGTGGGCTGGTGATACAGTCTTACCTTGGCCTAGCGGCCCTGTCCGGGGAGGTGGGGCTTTCAGTTTGTTTCCACACACAGCAAATGAAATGTTTACAGAGTGACTCATTGTAGCATTCCTGGATCCTGCAAGCTCCTGAACATAGTCCAAGAATCCAAGCCTGGGAAGCAGGTAGGTTAATCACTCTTGGTGTGTGGAATACTATGCAACTGTGTAAAAGAACGAGGCGGGTGGGCGTTTGGTGCAGGGATTCGCATGCCGAATTCAGCCCCGCATTCCAGGCCTCCAGGCAGAGTGCCTGGGGACCCTGCTGTCAATCCCAGCTTCCTGCAATGCTGACCCTGGCAGACGGGGGTGATGGGGCAGGTAACTGGGCGCTGCCATCCCGGTGGGAGGCGGGGATGGAGTTCCAGGCTCGTGGCTTCAGTGTGGCCCAGCCTGGGCTGCTGCGAAGATTTGCGAGTGAACTAATGGATAAGATCGTTCTTTCTCTCTCTGCCTTTCAAATTAAAAAAAAAAAAAACGAGGTGCTCTTTAGATATTCATGGGGAAGTATTAGTGCAGAGAATGAGGGGCGATTTTCTGATTTCTTTTTTGGTGTTGCGGCTGTTTTGTGAGAGCCAGGGGAACAAAAATGACTGGTTTCCCACTTCTGTTTTCTTCTTCTTTTTTAAAATACTACTGTTACTATTTCTATTTTTAAAAATATATGTCTTTGGGCCGGCGCCGCGGCTCACTAGGCTAATCCTCCGCCTAGCGGCGCCGGCACACCGAGTTCTAGTCCCGGTCGGGGCGCCGGATTCTGTCCCGGTTGCCCCTCTTCCAGGCCAGCCCTCTGCTGTGGCCAGGGAGTGCAGTGGAGGATGGCCCAGGTGCTTGGGCCCTGCACCCCATGGGAGACCAGGAGAAGCACCTGGCTCCTGGCTCCTGCCATCGGATCAGCGCGGTGTGCCAGCCACAGCGCGCCGGCCGCGGCGGCCATTGGAGGGTGAACGAACGGCAAAGGAAGACCTTTCTCTCTCTCTCTCTCACTGTCCACTCTGCCTGTCAAAAAATATATACATATATATGTCTTTGTTTTCATTTTTTTTATCTGAAAGGCAGAGAGACAGAGAGAGAGGTCTTCTCTTGTCTGGTTCACTCCCCAGATGGCCACAATGGCCGGAGCTGAGCCAATCGGAAGCCAGGAGCCAGGAGCTTCCTCCCGGTCTCCCACGCGGGTGCAGGGGCCCAAGGACTTGGGTCATCCTCCACTGCTTTCCCAGGCCACAGCAGAGAGCTGGATCAGAAGTGGGGCAGCCAGGACTTGAACTGGCGCCCATATGGGATGGGCGCACTGCAGGTGGCAGCTTTACCGGCTACGCCACAGCACCGGCTCCAATAATTAATTTTTAAAGGGGTCATTCCATCAAAATCCTGAGCAGAATAGAAACTTGGAGGAAGCCCAAGGAAGTCGTAGAAAGTGTCTGTTATGAGAAAACCTCCCATGGATTTCCAACACGTGTTTGCACGCGGGTGAGCGCACTGTTGCATTCCATTTTCCCATGAACTTTTGGACGTATCCTTGTGTTTATTTACCTTTCGTTGTCAATGGACCGAAAGGAAGTGGGGCGATGGGATGATCGTTGCGCTCCAAGCTGCCTGCCCTGGACAGCGAAAGTATTTGCAAGATTCTGGACCCTTAGACTCAGAAAAAAAAAAAAAAAACATACTGGGAGTGTCTGACTGCGTTCTCTGTCCCAGGCGGTGCTGGGAATGAGATACCAGACTTGCAAAGAGTTCATTGACTGAATTCGCAAACAGCGTCCGCGTGTTCGGAGAAGCCTCGGATTGGGAAATGCATGACTTGCTATTTTTAGCTGTGGAATCAGCTCCCCGAATGTTTAGAAGAAAGTTAATTGTTTAAAAGTTCATAGATCATTAACAAAAAGCCAAACAGTTGAAACAGTTGTGAATTTTCCTGTCCACGCACAACAGCTGGTGAGACCTTTCACCGGGCTGGGAGACTGGCCGGGGCGGGGCGGGTGGGACGGGAGCTGGGGCTCAGCAGTTTCAGTTTTGCAGAAGGCAGCAGCGCAGGAGGTTGTCGCCAGAGCGTGGGAAATCCATTTTCTCTACTGAGCAGCTGTCTGGACGGGAGCTTCACGTCTGTGTTTAGTATCTGGGCATCACTTGAGAAAGACAGCGCCCAACTCACCGTCTCTGTCAGCTCCACAGTGCTACCCTGTACCCCCAGCCCCCCGCCAGGCCAGGCAGGGCTGGCTGGTGTGGGTGCTGGGTGGGTCGGCCCTCCTGACTTCTGCATATTTTTTAAAGGTGTATTTACTTATTTGAAAGTCAGAGGTACACACACACACACACACACACAGAGGTCTTCCATTCACTGGTTCACTCCCAAGTTGGCCGCGATCCAAAACCAGGAGCCAGGAGCTTCTTCTGGGTCTCCCATGTGGGTGCAGGGGACCAAGGACCTGGGCCATCTTCTACTGCTTTTCCAGGCCACAGCAGAGAGCTGGATGGGAAGTGGAGCAGCTGGGACTTGGACTAGCGCCCTTATGGGCTCTGCCATCACAGGCCGGTGCCTTTATTGGCTATGCCACTGCACTGGCCCCAGGAGTCAGGCTCACAGCTTTGGGGATGACATATTCTTCAAGCTGTATCATGATCTGGGGGAGTATTTTTTTCCCAGGGGGTATCAGCAAGTGATGAGGAGGGTCTGGTACTCCGTGGAAAAATAGAGTGGGGTCATGAACGTGCTGCCTGGGAAGACTAGCCCATGTCACATGGCGTTCTCCATGGGGGCCACACTTGTCTCCTGCTTCCCAGGAGACAAGAACCAGCCGCAGGAGGCGTGGGCGGTGGGAGGGGCTGGGGCAGGTGGGGCTCCCACTACCCACCAGCCTCCCCCACTGTGACCTCTAAGACTGTCTCTCCCTCGCTCCGTTGTAGTGGAAAACTGCACTTTCTATAAACTTTCATCTCTGCTGGGTGTTGGATCCCTCCCATGACCCCGTGGGCCCTGAGTCTTATTTATTTACTTTCTTATTTGGAAAACAGATCGATCTCCCCTCGACTAGTTCACTCCCCCAGTGCCTGCAACAGCCAGGTCTGGGCCAGGCCAAAGTCAGGAGCCAGGAGTTCCGTCCAGGTCTCCCACATGGGTGGGTGGCAGGGGCCCAAGCACTTGGGCCATCACCTGCCACCTCCCAGGGTGCCCGTTAGCAGGAAGGGGGAGCTGGGGATGGAACCCAGCACTCTGATATGGAGTGGGGCATTTTCATTTTTATTATATATTATTATATTTTAGTAAATGCCATATAGGGAATAAGGAACGAGCCGTGTGCGTGACGATGCACACACACGAGTAAAACCTGGAGGGAAAGAGGGACGGGGTCCTGATCACCCGACACCTGTGTGTGTCGGTGCGGACCCCAGCAGCTGGAAATAAAAATCCTCTGGCTCTTACATCTGTCACTGCTCTCTGCGATGACTGGGAGATGATTCGGACATAACAAGAAAGGTCTTCCATCTGCTCCCCGAATGGCCACGACCGCCAGGTCGGGCCAGGCTAAAGCCACAGACAGGCCCTCCATCTCGGTCTCTCCACATCCTGGCCGGGGCCCCAGCACGTCAGCCATCATCCGCTGCTTTTTCAGGAGCATTAGCAAGAAGCTGGATCAGACGCAGGGCACCCAGCTCTCAAACTGGTGCTCTGGTAGGTGACCCTGGCGTTGCAAGTGGCTACTTAACCTGCTGCACCACAATGCCAGCCCCGTTATTTATTTTCATTTTATTTGAAAGACAGAGAGACAGACAGAAAAATCTCCCATCTGCTGGTTCACTCCTCAAATGCGTTAAACAGCCAGGGGCTAGATCCCAGAATCCATTCCAGGTCTCCCATGTGGGCGGCAGGGACCAAGTCCCTGAGCCATCAATGCATCCCTGGGTATAGACAGGCAGGAAGCTGGATCGGAGGTGGAAGAGCCAGGACTCGAAGGCAGACACCCCAGTATGGGCCGCGAGAGTCCCAAACAGCGTCTTAGCCCTACACTCCTTGTCCCTTTTGACTGAGAGAATCCTCCCACTTGAGTCTTGACGTTAAGAGCTGGAGACTACAATTCCCATGAGGCTGTGGGGCTGTTGCAACACTATAAAATGACCCTCTTACCGCGGTCCCTCTGAGAAACAGTTCCACAATGCTAACACAGGGTTGGGGCAGGAGTGATTAAGAAGTCCTTCCCTCTCCAAGAGCAAGAATAGTATCTGTGTCCCGGGGCGGGGCGGGGTGGGGTGGGGGCTCAGAGCAGCAAACTGAGGCCCAGAGGGAGGCCAGGGCCTTAGGAAAATGGGGGTGATGGAGGTGGGAGGTGGTGTTGGGGATGGCAGGGTCAGCATCGAGGGGAGACGGGGATGCAGATCCGTTCCGTCCCCCAAACATTGACACGTGCTCAGGTCACACTCTGTTGGAGTCTTTATTGTTCCACGTAAGAAAAAATAAAAAAATAAATAAGATAAATACCCCAATAAATAAAGAGGGGGCCCGGCGCTTCAGGAGGTGTAGCTGGGGCTCTGGTCCAGCGCAGGCTGCACCATGCTCAGGGGGTCCGGGGAGTCGACATCGGGGGGCGCGGCGGCCAGGAGGCCTGGCGGTTCCGGAAGGTCTGGCGGCAGGCCGGGCAGCGGCAGGAAGCGGGCTGGTCCCCGGGGGGCCGGCGCCCTGCGTGGGGAGCTGCCGGGGGACAGGCGCAGGGGCAGGCCCAGGGCCTCCGAGAGGTAAACGTTGTACCCGTCCTCACGCAGCAGCTCCCGGAAGCTGCAGGCCTCGCGGTCGAAGTGGAGCTAGGGAGAGAAGGACAGGAGATCAGAGCCCAGGGGGTCCTCTGTGCCCCCTGAGGCGGGTCCAGCCCTCCTCCCTCAGACCCAGGGGTCTGGGTGCCCAGCCCCTCCTCCCTCAGACCCCAGTGCCTCCTCCCTCAGACCCAAGGGTCCAGGCCCCGGTCCCTCCTCCCTCAGACCCAGGAGTCCAGCCCCAGCCCCTCCTCCCTCAGACCCAGGGGTCCAGCCCCAGCCCCTCCTCCCTCAGACCCAGGGGTCCAGCCCCAGCCTCCTCCCTCAGACCCAGGAGTCTGGGTGCCCAGCCCCTCCTCCCTCAAACCCCAGTGCCTCCTCCCTCAGACCTGGGGGTCCAGCCCCAGCCCCTCCTCCCTCAGACTCAGGGGTCCAGGCCCCAGCCCTCCTCTCTCAGACCTGGGGGTCCAGCCCCAGCCTCCTCCCTCAGACCCAGGAGTCTGGGTGCCCAGCCCCTCCTCCCTCAAACCCCAGTGCCTCCTCCCTCAGACCCGGGGGTCCAGCCCCAGCCCCTCCTCCCTCAGACTCAGGGGTCCAGGCCCCAGCCCTCCTCCTTCAGACCTAAGGGTCTGGGTGCCCAGCCCCTCCTCCAGGAAATAACACCCCAAGAACAGAATTCTCCCTCCCTCCAGGGCTGTCCTGCGGAGCCCACCCCTGCCCCCAGTTCACAGAGAACGTGCCGGCTGAGGGGCCCGCCAGGGTTCCCGGAGGTCAGGCTGCCACCCCGGGTTGCGGTCACTTCCCAGGCCACAGGTTCCTGAGCGCCCCCACGTGCAGCGGGGGCCCATGTGGTCAGGGGCGGAGGCGGCAGTCACAGGACAGGGCCTCTCCGCCACTCTGCCCGGCACGTGTCTCCTGACCTGCGGCCCCCAGGGGTTGCAGCTGGGTCAGGACGTGCTGGGAGCTGAGAGCCAGGCCGGGCCGGGCCGGGCTGACCACGCAGGAGCGCAGACCGTGGGGGGACGCACAGGAGGGAGGGGCCGGGAGACTCACCGAGCCGTAGAGCGTGCCATCCGGCCTCTGGCAGAGGAACCTGGACGTCTGGACCCCCAAGATCTGAATGATCCCCGGTTGTAAGGCTTTCATCTGCAAGAGACCTGCAGGAAGAGGGGGTCAAGCCCGGGGAAGCACTGGAAGAGGGCCCAGGTCCTCGGGCCCCTGCACCCGCGTGGGAGACCGGAAGAAGCTCCTGGCTCCTGGCTTCGGATCGGCGCAGCCCTGGCCGTTGCGGCCATCTGGGGAGTGAACCAGTGGATGCAAGACTCTCTCTCTCTCTCTCTCTCTCTCTCTCTCTCTCTCTCTCTCTCTGTAGCTCTTTCAAATAAATAGGTAAATCTTTCTAAGAAGGGGGTCAGGCCCTTGGGGCCCGCTCAAGGCTTGAACCCCAGCCCTGCTCCCTCAGACCCAGCCCCTCCCCCCCTAAAGCCCCCCACTCACTTTCTGGGCTCCTCCGGGCAGCCCCCACCACCGTGCCATCCGCCCTGATCTCCAGGTGGGCTTCTGTTTCCTGCGCATCGTCCGTGTACAGGTGCTGCTGCCGCACTTGGTCCCCAAACTGGAGGAGGGGGCTGGAGTCGGGGATGGGGTGTGCCTGGCAGGCCCCCAGCAGCAGGGCAGCGAGCGCGGGGACCCACAGCCCCGGGGGCCGGCACTTGGCCTTGCCCCAGTCCATCAGGGGCTCAAGTCCTCCGTGGTCTGGGGGCGGGGGGTGGGGACGGTCAAGACTCGGTGCCAGACTGGCTGGTGTGCGAGGGCCCGCTCCCGGAGGGCAGCTGGGGCCTGGGTCCTTCTGCTTGTGGGTCCCCGCCGACAGGACACCCCGTCTCCTCGGACAGGTGCAGCAGCTCCAGAATTTATAGCAGGCAGACCTGCCCAGTCACTCTCTCCGGGCCTGATCCGTGCTATTTGACCCACTTGGCAGGAACCAGAATTCCACGGTGGCCAGGACAGCCCAAAGAGATGATGCAACCCGGGGGTCCCTGCAGCCGCGGGCCTGGGACCTGACTCGGGGGGATGTCGGAGCTGGGGACCTGGCTAACTGGGACCCCAGCGAAAGGGGTCCTGGACTCCTGGGTCTGAGGGAGGAGGCTGGGGCTGGACCCCTGGGTCTGAGGGAGGAGGGGCTGGGGGCCTGGACCCCTGGATCTAAGTGAGGAGGCGCTGGGGGCCTGGACTCCTGGGTCTGAGGGAGGAGGCTGGGGCTGGACCCCTGGGTCTGAGGGAGGAGGCTGGGGCTGGACCCCTGGGTCTGAGGGAAGAGGCACTGGGGGCCTGGACTCCTGGGTCTGAGGGGGATGCGCTGGGGGCCTGGACCCCTGGATGCAAACTGTGCTCCCCACATAGGTGCTCTGTGCCCTGTCTGTCCTACAAGGACCCCAACAGTGAGGGTCCCTGCCCAGCAGGAAAGCAGGGGCTGCTGAGAAGGACCTGCAGAGTGTGTGGTGGGCGGGGGCTCTCTCTGGGCCTTGGGCCAGCCTCAGCCTCACCAACCCCTGCACCCACGCTCAGACACTGCATGGCCCTGCTGCCTCCTCCTCCTCCCTGACGCAATCCTGGTGTTTCTTTCACCAGAAAAGCCACTCCAGGCCTGGACAGGTGCTCCCAAGATATCCCTGCGGGCGGGCGGAGGGCACGCTGATGTCCCAGCCGGCTGCAGAGCCAGGCCTGGACTGGAGGCAGTGACAGCGAGAAGAGTGGGTGGTGGCCTGGAGCTCGGGGGATTCAGGGCCTGGACCCTTGGGTCTGAGGGAGGAGGGCTAGGGCTGGATTCTTGGGTCTGAGGGAGGAGGCGCTGGGCAGGTGCCCGGTCTGGAGGAAGTAAGGGCGACGCGCCTGTGCCTTCCAGATTCAGGCGGTCTGAGCGCTGGGGCGGGCGCGGCGCAGCTCCGAGGCCTGTGTTCCCCGGCCCCGCGGGACAAGCCCGATGTGGCCGCCTCCGCGCCCAGCTCTGCTGGGAAGGAGCTAGGAGGCGCCAAGGACCCTGCAGTTCCCGAAAAGGATGGCTCGGGCTGCAGGCGCCGCCCAGGAAACGGGCTCCATCCCCGGACGAGCGCAGCAGAGGCGGCCATCCTCGGGCCCCCAGGGACCAGGTGTGGGGGGCGGGGGGCTGCCCCGCGGCCGGGCAAGGCCTGGCTGGGCGCCCGCAGGTGCCAGGCAGAAGGTAAGCGCCGGCAGCGGATCGGGAGAGGGCGACGGACCGGAGCGCCCGGGACCAGCCTCGCACTGGAGGCGCGCGAGCATGAGGCGGCGGCCCGGGGCGGGCAGAGGCCCTGGGGGCTGCGGCGCCGCCCGGCGGCCCCGGCCCGGGAGAGCAGGGGCTGGGGCTCCCGCCCTGGAGAGCTCTGGCTGCGGCGCCAGGGACCGGGCGGGGCTCCGGCTCGCCTCCACCTGCCCGGCCCTGGGGGCGGGGGCTGGGAGCCCCGGACCGCGCCCTCTCACCTTCCTCCCCTCCCTGAGCCCTTGCAGCCAGTCGGGGGCGGCCGTGGCAGCGTGGCAGGCAGGGCTGCGGCCCGGGCAGCCTGGCGGCCGGGGTTCTGGGGCTGCCGGCGCTCCCCGGGCGCGCGGGGCCGACTGTGGATCTGCCACCCGCGAGGGGCTCGGGTGAGAGGGAAGCGGATGCCGGAGACCCGAGCCGGGCCCTAGGTGGCACTGCCACATTCAGCCTGATTCTCGCCGAGCCGGCTCAGCCTCTCCCAGGAAGGACTCCATCCCTGGGTCCTGGGCCTGCAACCTGCCCTATCCCCTTGGGAGCCTTCTCCATGGTGGCCTTCGCCTCGCCTACACAGGTACGCCGGAGCCGGTGGGCTTGGCACGTGGGGAGGCCGGGATTCCCAGCGGTGGGGCCCTGTCTGGAAAGCCATCATCTCCCCCACCCCTCCCGGGAGCGTGCCCCCTCCCGGTCTCCTCCCACACTCCCGGCAGCCGGAGCCTGTGGCTCCCTCATTCCCCGGGGCTGCCTGGGCCCAGATCCCCCGCCTCTTTTCCCAGACCTCCTCCGTGGCCCCGCAGGCGCCCAGCCTTGCTGCTAACTCGCTTCTCCTCCCTGCAGCCATGTGGCCTCCGAGCCGCCGGCAGCTCTGTCTGGCCTTCTTGCTTGTCTGTGCCCTCTCTGCCTTCTCCTTCCTCCTGCATCTCCACCAAGACCTCTTCCGAAACGGCCTAGCCCTGTCTCTCCCGTGTCTGGAACGCCAGCCGGTGCCAGCCCCAGTGGCCATCGTCTGCCTGCCCGTCACGTCGCCGGCCTCCAACGCCTCCTCCTGCGCCGGTCGCCCTGCTGCCCCCTCGGGAATCTGGACCATCCACCCGGATGGCCGCTTTGGGAACCAGATGGGGCAGTACGCCACTCTGCTCGCTCTGGCCCAGCTCAACGGCCGCCGGGCCTTCATCCTGCCCGCCATGCACGCCGCGCTGGCCCCCGTGTTCCGCATCACGCTGCCCGTGCTGGCGCCCGAGGTGGACAGACGCACGTCGTGGAAACAGCTGCTTCTGCACGACTGGATGTCGGAGGAGTATTCCCGCCTGGAGGACCCCTTCCTGAAGTTCACCGGCTTCCCCTGCTCCTGGACCTTCTTCCACCACGTCCGGGAGCAGATCCGCAGGGAGTTCACCCTGCACGACCACCTCCGGGAAGAGGCCCAGAGACTGCTGGGCAAGCTGCGGCTGGGCCGCACGGGGGCGCGCCCGCGCACCTTCGTGGGCGTGCACGTCCGCCGCGGGGACTACCTGCAGGTGATGCCCCAGCGCTGGAAGGGCGTGGTGGGCGACCGCGCCTACCTGCAGCAGGCCATGGACTGGTTCCGGGCCCGGCACGAAGCCCCTATCTTCGTGGTGACCAGCAACGGCATGAAGTGGTGCTGGGAGAACATCGACGCCTCCCGCGGGGACGTGGTGTTCGCCGGCAACGGCCTCGAGAGCTCGCCGGCCAAGGACTTTGCGCTGCTCACGCAGTGTAACCACACCGTCATGACCATCGGCACCTTTGGCTTCTGGGCCGCCTACCTGGCCGGCGGGGACACCGTCTACCTGGCCAACTTCACCCTGCCCGACTCCGAGTTCCTGAAAATCTTCAAGCCCGAAGCCGCCTTCCTGCCTGAGTGGGTGGGGATTAATGCTGACCTGTCCCCAGTCCGGACACTGTCTGGGTCTTGGAGGCCCTGGAGATTTCTGGGATAGCCCGATCCGTCGCGAGCTGACGGTCCCCGTCCCCAGAGAAGTTTGTGGCGTGGCTCCAGAGCAGGTGGGCACCCACAGCCAGAGTGATTCTACCTGGGCAGACTTGGGGAGAAGGGGCTTTCTTGAACTGCCCGAACATTCTAGAACCAACAGAAACTTTTTTTTCCCCTCCCCTGATAGCTGGCGGTGTAAGAAGAAGCTCAGGGCCGTTCCAGAAGCCACAGTGGCCACCTGTTCTTCCTTGGACGTTTCCAGAGGGCTTTGAGGTGGCTGCCCCGGGAAGAGGGGACCCTCCGTCTAGTGTTGATCAGCCTGGGCCTTTCTGGAAGAGGTGTTGCAACCTCCGGGACCTCAGAAGACAGAAGGGACTCGGTAGCTTTTCTACAGTCAGCATGTACCAAAAGCCAAAACGTGTTTTGGGGGGGCAGGCTCTTGCCTACGAGGAACCCGGCAGGGCCCTCCAGAGGGGATGGGGGATCCTAGATGAGGTTGGAGAATCTGACGACAGTACAGCAGGGAGGTCAACCCCTCAGCTTGAGAGATGGAAACAGACTCCCCGAGGCCGAGCAGCCTGACTCTGGCGAAGCCGGGGGAGCTTGGTCCGCCCCACAGCCCTTGCCACAGCCTCCACGCCTCTTCTGTGTTGTGGACAGACTGAAAGAGAAGTGTTTTTTTTGTTTTTTTGTTTTTTTTGTTTGTTTGTTTGTTTTGTTTTTTGCTGAAAACTTACCAAAGACAAGCACAGCACGTGTTGGCTGTCACAGTGAAGGAGGCCCCTCCTCTGCAGAATCTGCCAGTCAGCGGGCATCCAAACCCCTGCTGGGCATGGGGGAAGCCAGTCGGTGCCGTGCCTGCCAAGCCACGCGTGCCCCTGAGCTCACAGAACCAACCACTGGATCTGGCTTTGGCCAGGTCTGGAAAGAGAGAATCCAAAGATGTGTGTGGTTCCTGGAACCCAACCTTTAACCCAGGGGCAGCACAGGGTCTGGCCGAGGGCGGCAAGGTTCTTGGCTCAGATTTCAGGAGTCCCTTGTGGCTTTCCGGAGGGTGAGGGAATGCAGCTGTACCACAGTCCCTTCTGCTCACTTCCTCCACCCGCTGGTCCAAAACCCCGAGCCTCTACCCATTCTTCTCAGGGACTTCCCATTTCAGCCGCCATGGGCATGGAGTCGAGGTCCACACCTCCAAGCCCTGCCTCTGCAGCTTTGTGGAGCTATGTGTCCGTGTGTGTGTGTGTGTGTGTGTGTGTGTGTATCCGGTTCCAGACCCGGCTGCTTCACTTCTGATCCAGCTCCCTGTAACACACCTGGGAAGGCATCAGAAGATGGCCCAACTACTTGGGACCCCTGAAACCCACGCGGGAGACCTGGGTGGAGTTCAGGCTCCTGGTTTTGCACTATTTGGGGATTGAACCATGGATGAAAGATCTCTCTGTCTCTCTCTTTGTACCTCTGCCTTTTAAATAAATAAATCTAAAAACAAAACAAACAGTGGAGGGAAAGGTGGGGAACTTCCAGGGTCTTCCATCACTCACGATGTCCTGGGGTATGGTGGTGCAGGCTGAGATCCGCAGCCCCCTGTCGCTGCTAGAATCACACGGAAAGGTAAGGAAAGAGAATCGAGGCCCCAGCTTCTTCTCTCAGATCCTCAGTATCAGCCCCCAGCACGCCGATCTTGGCGTCCAGTCCCACAGATTGATGAGAGAAGGTGGAGCAGGGAGGGTGTGCAGTGTCATTATTGAACTACATTTCCCATGAAGCTATGGGGTTAGCGGTACCGATATGCAAAGAAGAAAGGCCCCTAGGCCTTCTGGGAGTCGTAGTCCCAAGACTACAAGCGGCCACTTCCCGCGCCTAAGTAATTGATGCCAGGGTTTCTCCAACGGGCGAGAGGGCATCTAACCGGAGGCCTGGTCCTGAGGCAAAAGAAGGGCGGACACCGACGGTTCCCTGGCTCTGGAACTTTAACAGGCGGCATCCGCTTCCATAGGTACTGGGAAAATTCTAGCATGAAAGGGAGCCACCTCTGTGACGTCATGGAGTGACAGGCGGGGCCGCCCTTTGTTGCGGTCCAATCAGAATGAGGGCTGCACTCCTGGGTGGGGCCAGGGAAAGCTCGGCGGCATCCCCTGGGCAACTGGGGCTCCCACGCGGGAACTGCAAAGGGGAGGCTGCAGGAGTTCCTCGTGGAGAGGGGACCGGCCCGCAGTCGTGGGCTCTCGATTTCCCGCGCCGTGGGAAAGCGCTGGAACAGGAGGACGCGGCTCGGCTCCCCCCTCCCCGTCAGCAGCCCTCAGAACCTGAACCGGGGTCCTCCGCGGACCCCAGTGTCCGAGCGCGGGAGTCGGGGCGCTGCTGCTGAGGGTGACTCGGGCTCCTTCGTCTCCTAAGGAGAGGCGTGCGCCCTGCAAATCGGGGGTGCGTTAGTCTTGGGGGAGGGTCGCTAAGGCACCCCGGGGCTGGAAGAGAGCTTGGTGTCTGTAGGGTCTCCAGGCTTAAGGGTTTGGGGTGTACTTTGTTTTTCACGGAGTTTTGAGTTTGACAATAGGGTTGGTTTTATATCGGGTGCTGTTCCCGGTTTGCTTTGGGCACTGAGCTTTTAGCTTGAGGTGCAATGGTTTGGGGAGACTTAAGGTTTGGAGTTCAGGATCCCTTCAGTCTGGGGAGTCGGGAAGCCTGCACGGGGCGGGGCTCCAGGGTCCTGCCCGAGTCGGGGCTGCACGGGGCGGGGCTTCAGGATCCTGCCTGAGTCGGGGCTGCACGGGGCGGGGCTTCAGGGTCCTGCCCGAGTCGGGGCTGCACGGGGCGGGGCTCCAGGGTCCTGCTGAACCGCTTGCTAAAGTCTTAGCTAGGATGCCGGGCGGGTACCCTGGAGGGCAGATTCTCACAGCCTGGAGGCATTTGGTGGCCAAGGCACATCTCTACTTGGAGGTTTCCCGAAGAGCTTCATTTTGTGGTTTGGGGCCCAGTGGATAGGGGAGCCAGTGAGGTCCTAAGTTGGGCTGTGGCTTTTCTGCACTTAGCGCTCAGCCACTCTCGGCTTGGGGCGAGAGGACCCTGCCCGGTGCTTCTGGACCTGCATGCTCTGGCGGCCATGGGGCCCTGCTTCGCCCTCCGCGTGGCGGCCCTGGCCGGCTGCCTGTCTGCCGTCGGGGGCTGCGTCACGTGCGACCCGAGGGTAGTGACGGCGCTCGAGAATTTGGAGAAGGACTACCTGCCTAGCCACTTGGATGAGAAGCATCACCAACATTTGATGAAGAGGGTCCATGATGCCCTGAAGGCACTCCAGGAACTGCCGTTTAGCGAGGATTCCTATATGGGTGTCCTTGGTGAGGGCAGGGTCTGGGGGGGGCCTGGGGGCAGGAAGGGGGAAGGCCAGAGTGCATATTTCAGGGCCCCTAGAAAGTACTGTTTCTCTACTTAGCCAAAAGCTTTATGTACCAAAACTACAACTCCCAGAAGGCAACAGGACTGTATCCCTGAACCAGGCCTATCCCTGTACAGTGTGGCCTCATGGGTATTGTAGTTTGAGATGAGTTCCGCCCGCCCCATGAGGCAGTCCTGATGGAATCTGGGGTTCTGTCTCCCCCCGACACACACAGATGAGAGCACCCTGGACCAGGTCTCTTGGAGTTTCCTGAAGGATCTGAAACGCATCACAGACAGTGACGTCAAAGGTAAAGGGACGGAGGGTGCAGGCGGCCGCCGACTCGCCTGGCGGTCAGACCCGGGGCCCCACAGCCGAGTGTCCAGGCCCAGATTCCAGCTCTGCCACATCCCGGCTGCGTGGCCTGGGCCAGAGGCTGTGCAGAGCCCCCGGCAGAGCCTTCCTCCGCCGTGGTGAGGACGAGGGAGCGAGGCGTGGGTAGAGCAGTGTCAGGGCCGGCTCCTGGGAAGGCCAGAGAGCGGCCGGCGGCTGCCTGGCCCTCGCCCCTGGCTGCCCCTCGCCCCGTTCTTCCCAGGTGAGCTGTTCGTCAAGGAGCTTTTCTGGATGCTGAACCAGCAAAAGGAAGAGTTCATACGCATTGCCGCTCAGTTCCATAAAGAGGGTGAGCGGCACGGGGGCCCCTCCCTCCACAACCCAGGAACCCCACACCCCCTCGGCTCCCTCACGCCCAGCCCCTCTCCTGGAGCCCCAACTTCAGCTCACCCACCCCACACTCTTTAATTTAGAAATCTGATTTTCTCTCTCTCTCTTTCCCCTTCGGAGGCAGCTTACTGTCCGAACAAATGTGGTGAGTTGGATAGTGGAGGCCGGTGCTCCGTCCCCCACCCCTGCCCTCCAATATCATCTTCGCCCACATGGCTTTGTTGTGGGTGCCCCTGGTGTGTCTGGGTTCCCCAGCTTGGTTTCCCTGGGTGGCGGGTCAGGTTCTACCAGCTCTCTTCACTGAGCCTCCCGGGGGTGGGGACTTTGCCAGGTCCCGTGGCCCCGCCTCTCAGGGGGCGTCGACCTTGCTCGGGCAGGTACCATGTTGCAGGTTCTGCTGTGGTGCAACACCTGCAAAAAGGAGATTCACCCCTGCCGCAAGTCCCAGGACTGTGGGGGTGAGCAGGCAGGGCTGGGCGCAGGCTGAGCCCAGGAGGTGGGGGTGAGCGGCACTGGGTGCAGGCCGAGCCCAGGCGGTGGGGGTGAGCGGGTGGCGCTGGGTGCAGGCAGAGCCCAGGAGGTGGGGGTGAGCCCAGGAGGTGGGGGTGAGTGGGCGGGGCTGGGCGCAGGCAGAACCCAGGAGGTGGGGGTGAGTGGGCGAGGCTGGGCGCAGGCAGAGCCCAGGCAGTGGGGGTGAGCGGGTGGCGCTGGGTGCAGGCAGAGCCCAGGAGGTGGGGGTGAGTGGGCGGGGCTGGGTGCAGGCCGAGCCCAGGCGGTAGGGGTGAGTGGGCGGGGCTGGGTGCAGGCCGAGCCCAGGTGGTAGGGGTGAGTGGGCGGGGCTGGGTGCAGGCCGAGCCCAGGCGGTAGGGGTGAGTGGGCGGGGCTGGGTGCAGGCAGAGCCCAGGCGGTGGGGGTGAGCCCAGGCGGTGGGGGTGAGCAGGCGGGGCTGGGTGCAGGCAGAGCCCAGGAGGTGGGGGTGAGCCCAGGTGGTAGGGGTGAGTGGGCGGGGCTGGGTGCAGGCCGAGCCCAGGCGGTGGGGGTGAGCCCAGGCGGTAGGGGTGAGCAGGCGGGGCTGGGTGCAGGCTGAGCCCAGGAGGTGGGGGTGAGCGGCGCTGGGTGCAGGCCAAGCACAGGAGGTGGGAGCGAGCCCAGGCCGGTAGGGGTGAGTGGGCGGGCTGGGTGCAGGCCGAGCCCAGGCGGTGGGGGTGAGCCCAGGAGGTGGGGGTGAGTGGGCGGGGCTGGGTGCAGGCAGAGCCCAGGCGGTGGGGGTGAGCCCAGGCAGTGGGGGGAGTGGGCGGGGCTGGGTGCAGGCTGAGCCCAGGCGGTGGGGGTGAGCCCAGGCGGTAGGGGGTGAGTGGGCGGGGCTGGGTGCGGGCAGAGCCCAGGCGGTGGGGGTGAGCCCAGGCCGGTAGGGGTGAGTGGGCGGGGCTGGGTGCAGGCCGAGCCCAGGAGGTGGGGGTGAGCCCAGGCGGTGGGGGTGAGTGGGCGGGGTTGGGTGCAGGCCGAGCCCAGGCGGTAGAGGTGAGTGGGCGGGGCTGGGTGTAGGCGTAGCCCAGGCGGTAGGGGTGAGCGGGCGGGCTGGGTGCAGGCCGAGCCCAGGCGGGAACCTGCGGTGGGGCCCGGCCGCACGGGGGCGGGGCGTTTCACGGGCCCTCCTCCTCAGAGCGCAGGGTGGAGGTGCACCAGATGGACGACCTGATTCTGGACTGCAAGCTGAGCTGGCACCAGGCCTCTCAAGGCCTCACGGACTACAGCTTTTACAGGGTGGGGCCCCCACTCCTGTAACCCTGACCTCCCGAGTTCCCCAGGGCCCACTGGCCTGCACGCACGTCCCTCGTGACCCCATGACTGACACTCAGGACTCCGTCCCCTGACCGGCGGCCCTGCCCCCCTCATGACCCTCTCACCCCTGTACTCCCAGAAGGCCCGAGTTCCCCAGGCCTCGGTGACCCCTCGAGCTTGGGTCTAGGTTTGGGGGAACAATTCTGAGACCTTGATGGCCAAGGGGAAGGCGCACCTTCTGACCAAGCCCCTGGTGGGTCCAGAGGACGCAGGCACGTACCGCTGCGAGCTGGGCACCGTGAGCTCCGGCCCAGCCACCATCATGCGCTTTCAAGTCACAGGTCAGTGCCAGCACGGTGACAGGGGTGCGGCATTGGGGGCCCCGCGGGGTGGGGCCAGCTTCCGGAAAAGGCGTGGCCTCGGGTCGGGGCGTGGCCTTCCGCTCTGGGCGTGGCCTGTGGCTGCAGGTGCGTGCAGCTGCTGGGCCTGGGTCCCGGGCGGGTCGTGCGTGCGCCGCCGGGACCTCCCTCTCTGTGCCCCTCTTCCCTCAGTGTTGCCCCCGAAGGTCATGGAGGAGGAACCGTCGTCAAACGTCATAACAAACACCGATGGGCGCCCAGGCCAGGCGACCCCGGCAGGCTCGGCGCCGTCCTCCACCCTCCATGCCCCGCAGCCCGAGAACATGCTGAGGAGCCGCCTTGTGGGGCTGCTGATCTGCTGCGTCGCGGTGCTGATAGCCGGCATCGCCACCGCGTGAGCCGCCCACTGACGAAGGCAGGGCCCCAGTGAGAGGCAGGGTAGCCCCGAGGGCCGAGGGGCGGGGCTGGCCCTGGGGGTGGGGCTTGCCTGGGAGGGCGGCGCTGTCTGGGCGGGTGAGGCTTCCGCGGGGCGGGGCTTGTCTAGGTGGGTGGGGTCCTTCCACTGTGGGCGGGGCTTGCCCTGGGGGCTGGGCTTGTCTGGGAGGGGAGGCTTCTGTGGGGGCGGGGCTTGCCTAGGAGGGCGGAGCTTTTCACTAGGGGCGGGGCTTGCCTCTCAGGGTGAGGCTTCCCCTGGGAGCGGGGCTTTCCACTGTGGGGCGGGGCTTTTGCCTAGGAGGGCGGAGCTTGCTGCTGGGGTGAGGCTTTCCACTGGGGTGGGGCTTGTCTCAGGGGCGGGGCCTTCCACTGTGGGGCGGGGCTTGTCTAGGTGGGCGGGGCTTGCCCTGGGGGCTGGGCTTGTCTGGGAGGGGAGGCTTCTGCGGGGGCGGGGTTTGCCCGGGAGGGCGGGGCCTTTCACTGGGGGCGGGGCTTGCCTCTCAGGGTGAGGCTTCCCCTGGGAGTGGGGCTTTCCACTGTAGGGCGGGGCTTTTGCCTAGGAGGACGGGGCTTGACTCGGGGGCGGGGTTTCTGCTGGGGGCGGGGCTCGGGCTATTGCTAGAATAGGATCAGTTTTGGGGGCGTCGGGCAGGGCATCGTGCCTTCAATGTCGCCTGACCCGTCTCCGGCCCGCACCCGCTCCTCCCGCAGGATGCTGTGCCGGGGCAAGGCGATGAGTAAGACAAAGTCCTCCCAGCTGGACGTCGGCAGCGACGACGAAGACGAAGAAACTTCTAAGAACCCAAAGAAGGCAGAGTCCACGACTCAATAAAAATCTGATTTTTTCTAAGTAGCCGGCTCGCTCCCCTGCGCTGATGCGAACTTCTGGTCCCCCCAGGGGACAAGTCTGGGCCTGGGGTGCTGCTCGCGGCCCTCTCGAGAGGCCTGCCCGACAGCCTCCGGGAGCGGGGCTGGGCCAGGCTGCGCAGGCCTCCTCCCCCAGGCCTGGTCTCTCACAGGACGCCCCCTCCCCGCTCTTCCTGCCGGGCTTCCTCTCGCCTTTTCCTGTCCCCCACCCAGTGCTGGGAGCTGGGACAGAGGCTACAGCTTTACGGGAGCGGAGGGACCGGGAACCAACCCAGGCCGGCGGAGCCAGGGCCTCCGGGGGCTGCGGGACCCGACGCAGGGTGAGAGCCCGGGAGCCAGCGGCCGGCCCCTACTCCTCTCGCATCCCAGGGGGCGTGGGGTCCAGGGCCGCCTCCCGCTCCGGCCTCGGGGGCCTGTGACTGGAGTCCAGGACCCCCTCGGCTGCTCCCCCCTGAGCATCTGGGGCCTTACCCTGTGCCTCAGGGCCATGCTGTCTGGCGAGCGGAAGGAGGGCGGGAGCCCCCGCTTCGGGAAACTCCATCTCCCCGTGGGCCTGTGGATCAATTCCCCCAGGAAGCAGCTGGCCAAGCTGGGGCGGCGCTGGCCCAGCGCTGCCTCCGTCAAGTGAGTGCCCAGCTCCGCGGGACCCCTGCCCCCGCCGCGGCCCCACCTGCCCCCCAGTCGCGTCCCCGGGCCTGCCCTGCCCTCGGTCACTGCCAGTGAAGGGCCTTGGAAGGGTTGGGGTGGCTCGGTTCCCGCCCTGAGTGGGCCAGCGGGGTGCGGAGCGGGCGCGGGGCCGCAGTGAGGCGGACGGGCGCTTCTTCACCGTCCCCTGCCCTCTCACCTCCCGGGGGTTCCTCCTGGGGGACTCGCTGGCCCTTAATTCTTTCGTCCCTCACTCTCTCTGCCCGCCTCGCCCGCTCCGTGCCCGCATCTCCGGTTCTGCGCGCTCTCCGCGTCTCTCTGCCGCCCGACGGACGCCCAGGTCTTCGTCCTCCGACACGGGGAGCCGCAGCAGCGAGCCGATCCCCCCGCCGCCGCCGCACGTGGAGCTGCGGCGGGTGGGCGCGGTGAAGGCGGCCGGGGGAGCCTCGGGGAGCCGCGCCAAGCGCATCTCCCAGCTCTTCCGGGGCTCGGGCACCGGGACCGCCACGGGGTCCGGCGGCGCGGGAGGCCCTGGGACTCCGGGGGGCGCGCAGCGCTGGGCCAGCGAAAAGAAGCTGCCCGAGCTGGCGGCGGGCGTAGCCCCCGAGCCCCCACTGGCCGCCCGCGCCACTGCGCCCCCGGGGGTCCTCAAGATCTTCGGCACGGGGCTGGCGCTGGGCGCCAACTACAAGAGCGTGCTGGCCACGGCGCGCTCCACGGCGCGCGAGCTGGTGGCCGAGGCGCTGGAGCGCTACGGGCTGGCGGGCAGCCCCGGCGGCGGCCCGGGCGAGAGCAGCTGCGTGGACGCCTTCGCGCTGTGCGACGCGCTGGGCCGGCCCGCGGCGGCAGGCGTGGGCAGCGGCGAGTGGCGGGCCGAGCACCTGCGCGTGCTGGGCGACTCCGAGCGCCCGCTGCTGGTGCAGGAGCTGTGGCGGGCGCGGCCCGGCTGGGCGCGGCGCTTCGAGCTGCGCGGCCGCGAGGAGGCGCGCCGGCTGGAGCAGGAGGCCTTCGGGGCGGCGGACGGCGATGGTGAGCCGGGGGCCCGGGGGCCTGCGGGAGGGGGCGGGGCCAGGAGGAAAGGTCGGGGTGGGGCCTGCTGGAGGGGGCGGGGCGAGGAGGAGGACGGGCTGGGGCTCGGGGGCGTTGCCAGGAGGATGGATGTGCTGGGGTTCGGGGGCGGGGCCAAGAGGACGGACGGGCTAGGACCCAGGGGCGGGGCCAGGAGGAAGGTCGGGGTGGGGCCTGCTGGATGGGCGGGGCCAGGGGCAGGGGCCTACTGGAGGGGCGGGGCTCGGAGGAGGACGGGCTGGGGCTCGGGGGCGGGGCCAGGAGGACGGATGGGCTGGGGTAGGGGGCTAGGGTCCAGGGCGGGGCCAGGAGGAGAGACAGGGCTGGGGCCCGGAGGCGGGGCCTGCGGGTGGGGAGGCGGGGCCAGGAGGATGGAGGGGCTGGTGCTCCGGGGCGGGGCTTGTGGTCGTGAAGGGCTGGCTGGGGCGGTTCCTTTGGGATTGGTTCCGGCGGGGGACGGGGCCAAAGGCGAGGACCTGAGAATTGGGCGGAGCCTGGAGGCAGGGGAGGAGCTTGGGACCCTGGAGGGGCGGAGCCTGGTCGGAGGCATGGGTGAGGGGCGCCCCAGAGGGGCTTCCGACAGGGGAGTGGGCAAGCACCTCAGACAGCCTGGCAGGAGGGTCAGTGCGTAGCGGGGCCTGACAGTGGCCAGCCCCGAGGACTGTGTGTGTAGGGCCTGTGGGACGGGCAGGGGCCCGCGGGATGCGGAGGGGTTCGCGGGAAGCAGAGCGGGATAGCAGGTGGGGTGCTGGGCGTGAGGGGGTGGGCGGGGCCGGAGCTCCAGAAGGGCAGGAGGTGTTGGCGGCTGGGCTGGTGGGGGTCTGCCTCTGCAGTAAGCCCGGGGGGTCCTTGCCCGGCAGGGCCTGGAATAGGTGGGCGGGGGCTGGGGCTCCTAGGTAGGCCGAGGCGGGGACCGAGCCCGCTGGTCTCCAAGCCTCTCTTGGGGAGACTGGGAGACAAGACTTCTGCGCTCCGGTCTTGATCTTCGGGTCTCAGCAAAACCTCAGGCGAGGGGTCAGTGAGATGTCCACCAAGGAGGATTTAGCGCAGGGCTTGCACCGCGCGGGCGCCTAGTAGAATTACCCCGGGTCACGGCTGGCCTCGGGTACCCTGGGAGGCGTGGTCCCAGCATGGTCCAGGCTGATCACCTCCGAGCGCCCCGTGGCGTTCGGGCGGAGGTGCCCTGTACCCCGAGCTTTCACAGGTGCTGATGATGAATCCACGTTAAAAGTTCCTGAGGGGAGACCTGCAGGGTGGCCGGGGGCTGCTTCCTGCCTCTCGGCGGCCCCTGCCTTGCCTCACGAGCTCCCGCCCCACGCGTGTTCTTCTCTCCGCAGGCGCGGGCGCCCCCTCGTGGCGGCCGCAGAAGAACCGCTCCCGGGCTGCGTCCGGCGGGGCGGCGCTAGCCAGTCCCGGCCCGGGGACGGGGTCGGGACCCCCAGCCGGGTCCGGAGGCAAGGAGCGCTCTGAGAACTTGTCCCTGCGACGCAGCGTGTCGGAGCTCAGCCTGCAGGGGCGGCGGCGGCGGCAGCAGGAACGCAGGCAGCAGGCGCTCAGCATGGCCCCGGCGGCAGCGGATGCCCAGATCGGACCTGCAGACCCCGGGGATTTTGATCAGTTGACCCAGTGCCTCATCCAGGCCCCCAGCAACCGCCCCTACTTCCTGCTGCTCCAGGGCTACCAGGACGCCCAGGTAAAGAGCCTCCTCCCTTTGCCCCTCACAAAACTACAACTCCCAGAATCCCCTGGGTCGCGGTGGCCTCGGGTACCCTGGGAGGCGTGGTCCCAGCATGGCCCAGGGTAGATTTTTATCCTGAAGAGAGACTTGGGGCGGAGGAGGGTGGGTGGCTGACAGGATTCCCCTGCGTTTCATTGGGAGTTGGGAGCAAACACGGTTTTTCTCAAGGAAGTGTGGGGGAGTCTATAAAGCAGGTCCCGGGCAAGCAGTCCTTTCTTTGGGGAGAGAAATGGAGCATGAATGGGTCTCCTGGACCAGAAATCCCTTCACTGGTGCCTGGGCCCTTGTCCTGGATGACCCGAGCTTATCTTGCCGCAGGGAGTGGACTAGCCCACTTGAATAGGGTCTGCTTCGGAACAACGTGAACACTGTGGGTGGTAGCAGGTGGTACTGAGCTTTCCATTGGGGCCACAATAGGGGGACTTGCTGGAGGGCTAGGGAGCAGAGAGGAAACAGGAAATGGGCTGGGGTCGGTCAGGAATTATTTTGTGAATGGCAAGAGAAGGCGTTGTTGGGAATATTCATTTGTCTGTGATGTTGAGGGGACCCCTTCTTAGGATGTCCCCCTTTGAGCAACAGTGGTACAGCCAAGCTCAACAGGTGCGGCTGGGACCGGAGAGAAAGCCACTGTAGAAGGGTGTGGGGCTTGTGGGACGCTTGCATGTTTAGTGTTTGCGAGCAGGCCAGTTGGATTAGGCAGCGTGGCTGTGTAGAGATGAGGGGACAAGACTCGATTCATGGAGGATCTTGCATGGAAGAACCGGGGCGAGGGGCTGGGGGGAGCACGCCGTGGCAGGGGGCTTGTATATATCCTGGAAGCCCACTCCCCAGGACAAGAAGGGAAACAGAGGCTGTCTTTTGGGACAGGTGGCGAAATTGGCCAGGGTTCTTCTGCCAGCTGAGAGTCTCCCGTAGGAAGAGGAGGGAGCACCCCCAGCAGCCAGTCCTTTCGGCGAAGTTCCTGAGAAGCCCTTGGTGGGGTAGAGGCTTCACCGGAAGCGTCCATTTCTTGAGGACAGGAATGATGGGCGGACGCAAATATGGCCTAAGAAGGAATTTATTTGGACTCGTCTGCTCATGGGTGACTGAGTGGCGAGAATCCAGTTGACGAGGCATTCCTTCTAGGTTAGGGAGCGGGAGAGCCCACTGGAGCCAGAACAGGGCTCCATAGAGAACAGGGCTCATTTTTCTGGGGAGGCAGATGAGCCCCAGGGGTTGTGTCCATTAACAGGGTGTCGGGGTCGCCGGGAGGGCTTTGTGTAGAGGAGGGGATTTGTGAAATCCAGGGGACGATCGCGCAGACAAGTGTGGGGAACAGAAAGACCTTATTTTAGGAAGGAAGCCAGATTGGTGGGTGTTCCATTTTCATGGACTGGAGATGAGAGAGACTATCTAGGAAGGAGACTTCTGGAATACACGGCTTCCTTCGGCGGGTGACACGGGACACGGTTCTAAGAGGGTCTGCTCGGAGTCCCTAGAAGAGCCCGCGATATGGAGAGCTCTCTGGAGCTGTCTGCTCCTGGAGAGGAGTGTTGATGGACTCCCCCATCGGGGGCGTAGGGCCGGCGGGTGCGGCCCTTGCGGGAGCAGTGTCCCCGGAAGTGAGGTCACGGCGGTGGGCTGGGGGTGCGTGAGCCTCCGCCCTATGGAAGAGCCCTTGGTGGAGAGAGGATTCTCTTTAGTGACGGAGTGGAATGGCAGCGTCCACTTTGAGGCAGCGGGGTGTGCTCATAGGTGTCTGGCCTCGGACGGGTGTTAGGGGAGCGGAAGGGCCCAGACGGCAGCACCTGGGGAGGCCTTTCGCGCTCACTGCCAGGAAGCAGAGGGTGCCGAGGGGTCCTTAGTGCGGCCTCGCTTTCCCACCAGGACTTCGTGGTGTACGTGATGACGCGGGAGCAGCACGTGTTCGGCCGCGGCGGGACCTCGTCGGCCCGCGGCGGGTCCCCGGCCCCGTACGTGGACACCTTCCTCAACGCCCCGGACATCCTGCCGCGTCACTGCACCGTGCGCGCGGGCCCCGAGCCCCCGGCCATGGTGCGCCCCTCCCGGGGGGCCCCGGTCACGCACAACGGCTGCCTCCTGCTGCGCGAGGCCGAGCTGCACCCCGGCGACCTGCTGGGGCTGGGCGAGCACTTCCTGTTCATGTACAAGGACCCCCGCCCTGGGGGCTCGGCCCCGGCGCGGCCGCCCTGGCTGCCCGCGCGCCCCGGGGCCACGCCGCCGGGCCCCGGCTGGGCCTTCTCCTGCCGCCTGTGCGGCCGCGGCCTGCAGGAGCGCGGCGAGGCGCTGGCCGCCTACCTGGACGGCCGCGAGCCGGTGCTGCGTTTCCGGCCGCGCGAGGAGGAGGCGCTGCTGGGCGAGATCGTGCGCGCCGCGGCCTCGGGCGCCGGGGAGCTGCCCCCGCTCGGGCCCGCCACGCTGCTGGCGCTGTGCGTGCAGCACTCGGCCCGCGAGCTGGAGCTGGGCCACCTGCCGCGCTTGCTGGGCCGCCTGGCCCGGCTCATCAAGGAGACCGTCTGGGTGAGCACCCCGAGCCCCCTCCCCAGCGGGCCCTTCGCCTCCGCGCGGAGCTGGGAGGGCGGAAACTGCCTTTCCCGTGATACCTTGCGGGGCCCCAGAGGATGCCGGGAGTTCACCCACTGCGCTCGATGCCTACCTCTGGAGCTGTGGGATCATGGGAGAGACTATTCTGCAAAATGGCGGGAGAGAGCAGCATAGGGTTAGGATCATCTGAACACTGGGCAGAGATTATGGATGAAAGAAAAGGCGGGATATTAGCCAGGACACCTTCTTTCCTCGCCTTGATTCTGATCTTACTGTTCTCCAGGAAAAGATCAAGGAAATCGGAGACCGTCAGCCGGAGAAGTAAGAGGAACTCTGGGCAGAAAGTTCGGGAGGGAAGCAGGGCTGGGGGTCTGCACCCACGCGGCGTCACTGCATGACGTCACAGTGCGAGTTTCCGCTCCTCCGTGGGACTCCCCTTGCCCAGCTGTGAAGTGGGGCTTGGCGCTGGTCTCCAACCCTGCTCTCGCGTAGGGGTTGGGCAGGGGCCGCAGGTTTCTTCCTCTTCCCCCAGCCACCCCGAGGGGGTCCCCGAGGTGCCCCTGACGCCCGAGGCCGTGTCTGTGGAGCTGCGGCCGCTCATGCTGTGGATGGCCAACACCACGGAGCTGCTGAGCTTCGTGCAGGAGAAGGTGCTGGAAATGGAGAAGGAGGCAGACCAGGAGGGTGAGCTCGGACGCCAGCCCACGCCCTCCCCGGCCCGCTCGTGGGGGCTCCCTCTCACTCCAGGCCTGTCCTCAGACCCGCAGCTCTGCAGCGACTTGGAATTGTGTGACGAGGCCATGGCCCTCCTGGACGAGGTCATCATGTGCACCTTCCAGCAGTCCGTCTACTACCTCACCAAGGTTGGCCTCGCCCGCGGCGTTCCAGATGGCCGGCCTCGCTGACGTCACTTCCCGTCTCTCCCGCGCGCGCTGCTGTTGTGACACCACTTCCTGTTTGAGTTCGCATTGCTTCCTGCCTTTCTGGCCTTCGCTTCCGGGCTTTGCGATGATCCCCTCTTAGCCGACTGCCCTCGCTGGCTGGGTGCTGTCAGCATCCCCCCTTGCGCAAGCTCCTGTTTCCTACGTCCACTCCTCAGGAACTGATAAGTGTTCCATAAACACCGGGAGGTAAACAGATCAGGTGGCGCCGGGCGCTGCCATCTAAGCTCCTGGCCTCCTGAATGCGGCCTGGCTCCCTGCAGCTCTGAGTTCACTTCCTCTGTGGACTCACGTTCTGCACCAGCTGCTTCGTCTGCTTGCCCGGCACCACCTTTGACCTCGCCGTCGCTTCCTGGGCTTCTCAGGGCCTGATCCCCGATCCCCTATCCAGAAAACGAGGGGGAATCTTGGGGGACCGACAGCGTCTCAGCCGAGCAGCCTGGACTGGGAAGCCCGCTTCCCGGACGTCCCTGCCAAGCGTGGTTCGGTGTCTTCTGTCTCCGGCCTCATTTCCTGTCCTCAGCCTGGTCTTTCTTTCCCCTGGCTAGCTGCCATCCCACTTCCTGGCCTTCCATTCTTTTGCTTTCCTTTGGGGATTCCGAATAAATAGCTCCTTCGAGGGGGCCTCCTTCTCCAGTGCCCAATCTTCTTGAGCAGTCTCTGCTGAGAACTACAAGTCCCACAATGCACGACAGGTGGCCTTCAATACTCTTGGAACGCCTTGCTTGGGACTTGAGCTGTCCTTGGCCCGATCAGTGCTGGAAACCTGTCCACCACGGGGGATGCTTGGTGCACGCTGCTTGGGCTGCACGCACGGCCTAGTGGGGCGCCTGGTTTCCAGCTGCCTGCAGATGTGCGGCCTGGAGGGAGTAGCAATGGCCCAAGTGATGCGGCCCCTGCCACCCACGTGGGAGACCTGGACTGAGCTCCAGGCTCTCAGCTTTGGCTCGGCCCAGCCCTGGCTGTTGTGGGCATTTGAGGTGGGAACTAGCAGACAGTTGTCTCTCAGTCGATCTCATAAATAAATCAGTCAGTCCCATCTATAAAGTAAGGGTTTGTTCAGGGAGACCCTTAAGGGTATTCAGTCAAAGGAGAACTACAACTCCCAGAAGCCTTTGGTGGCTCTCCCGTATCCTCACACTCCATCACCGCGGAGCTCCCAGGAGTTGTAGGCCGATCACTCGGTGTCCCTCTGTCTCCTCAGACTCTATATTCAACGCTGCCTGCTCTCCTGGATAGCAACCCTTTCACAGCGGGCGCGGAGCTGCCAGGGCCCGGCGCGGAGCTGGAAGCCATGCCGCCAGGGTTGAGGCCGACGCTGGGCGTGTTCCAGGCGGCGCTGGAGCTGACCGGCCAGTGTGAGCTGCACCCAGACCTCGTGTCGCAGACTTTCGGCTACTTGTTCTTCTTCTCCAACTGCGTCCCTTCTCAACTCGCTGATGGAGCGAGGTGAGGGTTTGTGTGGGGGCTGCCCGGGAGGGAAAGGCAGGAAGGAGCCGGGGAGCCAAGGCTGGACACGCCACAGGGCTGGACACGCATGTGGGTGCCGGGGAGACCTTGCTTCCGCTGCAGGCCGGAGCAGAGCGGCCTGAGAACGGAGCCGACCCACCCACTGTGCTTTAAAACCCTCCCCCACAGGTCCAAGGCCGACCCTTCTACCAGTGGTCCCGCGCTGTCCAAATCAGAACCAACCTGGACCTTGTTCTGGACTGGCTACAGGGGGCGGGGCTGGGCGACATCGCTATGGAGTTCTTCCGGAAGCTCTCCATGGCCGTCAACCTGCTGTGCGTGCCCCGCAGCTCCCTGCTCAAGGTGACTCCGGGTCGGCTGTGCCTGACCCCTGACCCCGGCGGCCTCCCTCTGCATTCCGCTCCCCCTCGGCGCTCCCCTCGAACCCCGTTCCACCCCGGCCCCAGCTCAGCCACCATGGGGTGCCGCACTGGCAGCTAACAGGAAGCCAACAGCAAGAAGCACCAAACTTGGTGGTGCCTGAATCCCAGGGAAACTTGCTAAAAATAGTGTCCAGGGTCCCTCCCTCGGACGTGCTGAGTCAGGACGTCTGGAGTGAGACCAAGGCATTCCCATGATGCTTAAACCACTCACGAAGCGCGCGCCCCGCGCCGGGCTCTGTGTAGCCCTTCCAGCTCCCCGGGAGGAAGCCTGCTAAGTGCTTTTCAGACGAGGCCGCTGAGCTCCGGTCCTTCCCACTGTGTGCAGTGCGCGGAGGAAGCACGCGACAAGACCGCACCCTAACATCCTGTTAGGCAGCGCCCGTTCTCTGTTTGCAGAGGAGCAAACCGGGCCACAGGGACCTGCCACTGTGACAAGGCCCGCGGCCATTTCTGACCCCAGCCCGTCCGAGCCCCGTCTCGGATCGGAGCCATGCTCGCGGCCAGAAGGCAGCCACCAGAGCAAATCCTCACGTGCCAGTCTGCAGAACAGACCAGGGGCCCATCCTGTGTGCCCCCCCCCGCCCCCGCCCGCTTCCTCCATCCTGTGGCTCTACAGCGATTCACATCGCCGCCCAGACGCCGGGCCAGCCCGCTCATGACCACCTATCCGCTCTCCCCACCAGGCCTCCTGGAGCAGCCTGCGAACTGACCACCCCACGCTGGCCCCCGCTCAGCTGCACCACCTGCTGAGCCACTACCAGCTGGGTCCCGGCCTTGGGCCACCCCCCGCCTGGGACCCTCCGCCCGCAGAGCGAGATGCCGTGGACACAGGTGAGCAGGGCGAGGGCGTGTCCGCCGGCTTCTCTCCTCTGCAGCAGCAGTCGAGACCCCGGGCCGAAGCGCGGGATTCCACTCAGCTCCCCTCTTCCCAGGATCCTGGAGCCCTCAGCTCCCTCCTTCTCCCACACCTGGGAGTCGGGGCCCCGCCGCCCCCTGGGATCCTGATGCTGAGTTCCCAGCTCTGCCTCAGGGACCCGGGCAGCGGTGGCCGTTCTAAGCTGAACTACAACTCCCATCATGCTCCGGGGCGGGCCGACTCGCGTCACGTGGGCGCGGCCTCCGCTCCAGCGGTTGCTGGGGGCCAGAGGTTTTTTTTTTTCCTTTTCCTGGATACGGCCGCCGCTCGCCCCTTGTCAGACTCTAACCGCGTCGTCCTCGCCTCCTAGGGGATATCTTCGAAAGCTTCTCCTCACACCCTCCTCTCATCCTGCCGCTGGGCAGCTCGCGCCTGCGCCTCACGGGGCCCGTGACGGACGACGCTCTGCATCGTGAACTGCGCAGGCTCCGCCGCCTCCTCTGGGATCTTGAGCAGCAGGAGCTTCCGGCCAATCACCGTCACGGACCTCCCGTGGCTACGCCTCCTTGAAAGCCAATAGCAAACGAGCCCGCGAACCTTGAAAAAAACCCGTCGATTCCTGCTCCCGGGAGCCCGCCCGAGCGCAGAGCGTACTGGGAGTTGTAGTTCTCTCCCCGCGTGGACTGCTGGGAGTTTGAGTTTGCGGGTGGCGGAGGATGGGACGGTGGGGAGACGGGCTTGGGATGTAGCGCCAAGGGGCAATAAAGGTATCTGTGGTATTGGCAACACCTCGCCTGTTAAGACTCGGGGCGCCGGTGGAGACTTTCCGTGAAATAAGACAGCGGGGCCCTCGCCTGGAGCGCTGGGCCGCTGCCGACTCGGAGGCGGTATTTACAGCCACGGCCTCAGCCTGCCCTCTGGCCTGTAATCCAACCCTGAGGGCCCGGGGCCTCCCGCGCACCTCCGAACACAGCCCTTGGCCCTGCCAGTGGCGACCAGCGGCTCCCTTGGGCCTCGAAGTCCGTCCTTCGGTCCCTCCGCTGGACCTGTCGTGCCTGTTGCACACAACAGGGGGCGCTGTCCAGAGCCCCTCCCTCCCTCGGACCCAGGGGTCCAGACCGCACCCCCGCCCCAGCTCCGGACCCCGCAGGCCAGGCGTCCCCTGCCTTGAACCCGACTCCTGCTGCTGCGTCAGGGAAAAAGCGACAGGTGGCACCTGCCGGTAGGGGCGGGGCACGACCACCTGTCGCTGCTGCTCACCCGTGCGCCGCTCCGGCAGCTGCTGCTGTCAGTCTGCCCGACCCCATCGCCCCGGGACGCGGAGGAGGAGCGAGCCAGGGAGCCCCACGTCCGCCCCGCCCCAGGAAGGGGGGTCCCAGACGGTCTCAGGCTGGCGGGGCGGAGCCTGTGGTCTCCAGCGCAGACCGTGGGACCCTGCCTGCGCCAGAGCACAGCTGCGCTGAGCCCACCTGGTGAGAAGCCCCCGGGTGGGGGGGGGGGGCTCCTTAACTCTTTGCTCCCCTCTGGTCCTGTCCCTTCCCGGCAGACACTGATGGTCCCGTCTCCGCTGTGGTTCCAGGGACTTCCATTCCCCTCTTGATCCGGGATCTGGGATTCTAGCATTGAGTTCCCACCCTCAACTTCCTCTCTCAAGATTCAGAAGTCCAGGACCCCAGCCCCGTCCCCTCTCACACAGGCCTGCAGCCCCCTCCTCCCTCAGATCTGGGGGCTTGGGGCAGCTCCCCATAGAGTAGTTATGGCCCCAGGCCGCACCTACCCCTGACTTCCTCAGGCCCTTGTCCTGCAAACCTCCTGACCCCAACTCTGGCCCGGCCCTCCCCCCAGTCCAGGTCCCCATCCCAGCCTCCACCATGACCCTGGCAGCTTCCTCCCAGCGCTCCCAAATCATTCGCTCCAAGTTCCGATCCGGTGAGAGGCTCGCTTTATGCATGGGGTGGGGGGAGGGAGGTTCCAGGCAATGCTCTATTCTGGGGGGAGAGTGGGACCCACAGGGCACAATTGTGTGCCAAAAGGTCACTTGTGCATAACAGAGGCCCCAGCAAGGAGTGAGTGTGCAAATGGCTAGTGGGGACTGGGTGGGGACCGGGTGGGCGTGCAGAGGTTCAGACGATGCAAAGGAGCGAGGGCTTAAACTGATGGTGTTGGCAAAACAGCTCCGAGCCGAGGAGACCTCGGAGTGCAGGTGGAGGGGCAGTGAGCTGTGGAGCCTAGCAGGTGCCAAGTGTGCCAGTGAGTGGAGCTGGGGGAGAGTCAATTCCTGGGCAGGCGAAGGAGCCCTGAGTGTGCAAATGAGTGCTTGCATATATGGTTGGGTGGGTGCAGACGCTGGAAACCGAGCGAGTGTGCAAAAAAGGCAGATGTGCAGGCTAGAGCAGAGGGCCGAGTGTCGATGCTGGGTGGGTCCCAAGGCAGAGCGAGCCAAGGGTGACGAGTGTGGGAAAGGGTGCAACTGTGTAAAAGTAGCACGTGTGCAAACGCAGAGTTCAGGAGATGCGCGTGTGAAGGGTGAGTGTGCAGAAGGGGCTGACTGTGGGAGGGGAGCAGGTGTGTGCCACGCCGGGCACACGGACACCGGGAGGTGAGGTTCGGAAGGGCCGGTCCGCCAAGATGGCGATCGTGGCGGGGCGGGGTGGGCACGGGCATGAGGGGGGCAGGTGGAGCTGGGGGCAGGGCTGCCTGCTGCGTGCACGCTCGCGGGCTGGCGCCTGGCCCCACCGCGGCTCCGTGCTGGCAGGGAGCTCTGGGGAGGCCCGCCCACCCGCCCGCAGGGGTGTGCGCGAGGGGGCCGGGCACCAGTGTCCCGCCAACAACTCCAGGCCAGGCTCCGGGACACTCCCTTCCCGCCTTCCTCCTCCCCCCTCCCGCCACAGTCCTGCAGCTGCGGATCCGCCGACGGAATCAGGACCCGAGTGAGTGTGGGCCCTGGGAGGGAGGGGATGGCGGCCGGGACACACAGAGAGCCCACTCCGCCCCTTCCCACCGGCCCAGCTGCCCAGCAGCCCCCGGGGGGCCCTGCTTCCTGTCTCCCTGCCCCCCCCCCAAGATGCATGAGCCCAGATGCTGTTCCTTCTGAGAACACAGGAGCCCCAGACCCCACGAGCGCCTGGGACGTGGCTCTCAGCTTCTCCCCCTCTCCGGGAACCAGGGGTGCCTGGAACCTGTGCCCCCCGGGCTGCCACACCCCTCGGCGACCAAGGGCACAGGGTCCCTGCCTTTCTCGGGCCCCTCCCCTCCCTGCCTGGCTGGCTGCTCCAGCCTCCCCATCTCTCTCTGACCCCAGCCTCCGGACCCGCCCTGCCCTCGGCCACCGACCCTCTGCTCTTCAGCCCCGGGGTCCTGCTCCCTGAACCAGAATTTTGTCCTTGGAGGTCCCCCAAGAAGGTGAGTGCGGCCTGGGGCGAGGGCAAGGCCCCCTGAGAGTCTGGCCTTGGTCCTCCTCGCTGCTGCCCCTCCCTGGGGGCGCCCAGCTCACCCCAGCTTTGGCCCTGGCTCCGGGGGGTGTCAGCATTGCACCTGCCCCTTCAGGCATCTACCGGCGTCTCCGAAGGCTGCTCTGAGCCCCAGCCTAGGGGCAGCTTGACCTGCGACCAGCACATGCCCCCAGAGCCCAGACAAGGGGCCAGGGCGGACCCCCAGGCCCAGAGGCCGGCCCTGCGTCCCCCTGGACCACCTCTGTGGGAAGGCACAAGCTCACAGCCGCCACATCCTAGGTAGGACCCCACTTTCCGTTCTCTTGGGGACCCAGAAATTCAGCATCCTTCTGCCTCACACCGAGTCCAGGCCCCGGGAAGGCTGGCCGGAGCCCCCTCCTCCCCTAGGACGCTGGGGTCTCCCAGCCCCTCAGAGACCCCGAATTCTGGGCCCTCGCTTTCCTGCGCCTTCTCGTGGCCGGTCTGTGAGGACCACAGAGCGCCCGTCTCTCTCCGCCCCCTCATCGCCAGGATGAAGCCGGCTCCCCTCCCCCCCTCCCCACCGGGGGTCCCCAACCCCTCGCCCCCTCCACACAAGCTGGAACTTCAGACCCTCAAACTGGAGGAGCTGACGGTGAGTCTGGGTCCCGGAGCCCTCCCCGGAGATTCTGAGTCCTGCCCCGACCCCCGCCCGCGCCCCAGAGCCCGCCCAGCACCGCTCTCCCGCCCCCCACCCGCCCAGGTCTCAGAGCTCCGGCAGCAGCTGCGCCTGCGGGGCCTCCCGGTGTCCGGGACCAAGTCGATGCTCCTGGAGCGCATGCGCGGTGGCGCCCCGCCCCGCGAGCGGCAAAGACGCCGGCGCGAGGACAACCCCGCGGGTGCCCCCTGGCCACGCCTGAGGCCCAAGGCGCTGGGAACCGCCCGGCGGCAGGGCCCGGTGAGGGCGGGGCTGTGCACGTGTGGACCAATGAAGAGTAGATAAAGCGGGAGGAGGCGGGAAGTGAAACGCTGAGTAGCCAATGAAGGTTGGGTGGGGCGTGGCTTCACGCGAGAAGGCTCGTAGGCGGGGAGGGCGTGGTTCAGAGCAAGAGGGGGAGGATCTTAAGGCCAATGAGAGGGTGGAGGCGGGGACAAAGAAGAGTATAGGTCGGGACAGGTCTTGGGGGTGGAGCCACAGGCTGAGTGGGCGGAGTTGGGCCCGATGGGCGTGGTTTACTGGAACTCGCCCTCTGCTCGGCTCCAGGTGAAGCCAGACCCGGCGTCTCACAGGTCGCCTCTCGCGCGTGCAGCGGACGCCCTGGTGGCGGCCCCGGCCCCGGCTGCGGCTCCGGCCCTGACCCCTTCCTCAGCCCCGGCCTCGGCGGCGCTGACTCTGGAGGAGGAGCTGCAGGAAGCCATCCGGAGGGCCCAGGTGAGGGGGTTGTAGGTGCCGGCGGGGCAGGGGGCTCCGGCCTGACGTTCTGGGCGGGAGTCCCGGGTTCACGCCGCGTCTGCCCGCCCGTAGTTGCTTCCGAACCCGGGCGTCGAGGACATCCTGGAGGATCGGGTGCAGCCTGACGGTGAGAAGGGGCCTGGCGGTCGGGGCTGGAGGCCCGGCCCCTGCCGCCCTCGGCTCACGCCCCGTTCCTTCCCCGCAGACCCGTTGCCCCCCATCCCCCTGGACTTCCCCGGCTCTTTCGACGTGCTGTCCCCCTCCTCCGACTCCGAAGGCCTCTCCTCCGTCTTCTCGTCCTCGCTCCCGTCCCCCGCCAACTCCCAGTCCCCCTCGCCCAGGGGCCTCACGGACTCCTTGGACTGGCTGGAGGCCCTGAGTGGGGGTCCTCCGCTGGGCTCCGGGCCCCCAGCCCCAAGCATCTTCGCTGCTGACGTGTCCGACTCCAGTGGCAGCCGGCTGTGGGACCTGCTGGAAGATCCGTGGTGATGGATCCCGGGGCTCCCAGGGACCCAGAGGCCACAGAGAGACCAGCTGAGGGGTGGGCTGAAAGATGAGAGACCGCCCCGCCCCGCCTGCCCCCCCCCCCGCTCCCACCGCCTCCCCCTGCGGCTGCATCACTGCGCACGCGCGGGAGGGGGGGTCATTTGCTGCTGCCCACGGCAAACACGCTTGCTGCTCCCTTTCGAGACGTCCTGGATGTTTTTGTCCCGGCTCCCAACCCTAGCCGGCTGTCTGTTGTCCGGCGAAGCTGGATGGTAGGTAGACTTCCTGGCACAATGGCTGGGGCTCAGCCGGAGCCGGGACTTCCATCCGGGTTGCCCACATGGGGGCCCCAGCTCTTGGTCCGTCTTCTGCTTTTCCAGGCACGTTATGTGGAGCAGCCGGGACTCGAACCACTGCCCATACGGCTGAACCCGCTGTGCCACCAACCAGCCCCTACTGTGGCCTCTGTGGTACAGGGGGAGCAGTGGTTTGCGTTTCAAGGGCTCTGGGACCCAGAGACTGTCCTAATAGTGCTTGGCCCTAGGGTGACGAGCCTTGGGGACAGTGGCCCAGGGTGCGAGCTGGGTCAGGGAGCTGGCGGGCAGAGGAAGGGGGTGCTCGCAGGAGAGGCCCTTACAGTCGTGGCATTGATAGCCCCGCGAGGGGCAAGTCCTGGGGTCAGCCCAGCAGGACAAAGAAACATTGTAACGGCATCAGGTCTGCAGAGGCCTGGGCGAATCGGAGGGGCCGTGGTGGGGCTGGTAGTGATGGCTCGGGACCTGGGGCCAGTGACTGCCTGGCTCGGGACCTGGGGCCAGTGGCTGCCGAGGCTTGGTCTCGGTTCCCCCGACCTGTGCCTGTCCAGGGAGGAGGGGCCTGTCCCACGGCTTGACCTGGCCTGGGGCGCATGCTGGTAGCCAGCAGTCACCACTGTCACTGCCGCTGGGCAAGTCCAGGGCCTCCGCGGCGGGCACGCGGGTGCACCTTGGAGAGCCGAGGGAGCGGGTGTTTAGCCTCGAAGATAAGGCGCCTGGTCTCGCCCCGCAGCGCCTGGGGTCCATTCCCAACACCGGCTCCTGACCCCAGACCCTGGGCGGCAGCCGTGATGCCTCACGGTAGGAGGGTGCCCTGGAGGGAGCTCCTGATTGCGGGCATTTGAGGAGTGAAAGGGGGCGGGGTGGGGGGCTCTCCCTCTCTCTGGAAAGTAACTAGCAGGGAAGGGAAGAGTGCTTGTGACCGGAGGCGGGCATGGGCGGGCCTGGGCGACTTCCTAGCCAGCAGGTAGGATTTGTGAGGTCACTGGAGGGGCGGAGCTGCCCCATGTCACGGAGGCGGGTGGACGGGGTCCTGGTCATGTCACGGAGGTGGGTGGACGGAGGCGGGTGGACGGGGTCCTGGCTGTGTCACGGAGACGGGTGGACGGGGCCCTGGTCGTGTCACGGAGGCAGGTGGACGAGGTCCTGGCCGTGTCACGGAGGCGGGTGGACGGGGTCCTCCCCCTGTGTCCTCAGCCCTGGGGCCCTGAGACGTGCAGGGAGGGAGGAATTGAAGCAGAGGGGATTCGATGGCAGTCCTTGGGGGGGGGGGGGGGTGAGGCCAGTTCACCCAGAAAGAACTGGAAGCCCAGGAGGTCGGAGGGAGCATTTTTGTGTGTGTGGGACTCCAAGGATGGGGACTGCGGCAGAGCTGGGGCTGGGGAGGGCAGGTGGGGGTCCCACGGGGTCCTTTATGTCAGGCTGCAAACTGAGAGGCCCTTCCTGCTGGCCTGCTGCAGTTTCTGACAGCGTCCGTCTCCACGGCAACCTCCCCCCCCCCCCGCAGCCTGGCTGCTCCGGCCACGGCCACTCCTTGTCCCACGTCAGCTGAGACGGTCTCCCCTGTGGCCTCTCTCTCCCCCTCCCTCTCTGTCTCTCCCCCTTCCTCTCTCCCCCTCTCTCCCCCTCCCTCTCTCCCCCTCCCTCCCTCTCTCTCCCCCCTCCTTCTCTCCCCCTCCCTCCCTCGCTCTCTCCCTCCCTCTCTTCCCTTCCTCTCTCTCCTCTTCCCCCTCTCCTCCCTCCCTCCATCTCTCTCTCCCTCCCTCCCCCTTCCTCTCTCTCATCTCTCCCCCCTCCCTCCCTCTCATCCCCCCTCTCCCCTCCCTCTCTCCCCCCTTCCTCTCTCTCCTCCCCTCCCTCGCTCTCTCTCCCTCCCTCTCTCCCCTTCCTCTCTCGCCTCTCTCCCCTCTCCCTCCCTCTCTCCCCTCTCTCTCCCCCCCTCGCCCCCCCCACCTTGCTCTCTCCTACTCATCTCTCCACTGCCTCCTGCCCTTTCTCCCCACCCCTTTCAGTCCCTGCCCTCCCCTGTCTCCGGACCCAGCTCTCCTGTGTCCAGCAGGGGGCAGCCTTGGGCTGAGAGTGGCCCGGGCGCGGGGCAGCCAGAGGAATTCTCCAGAAGGTGGAGGCTGGGAGCAGGCTTGGGTGGGCTGGGGTTGGAACCCAAGTCTGTGGGCAGGGCTTGGAGCCGCACTGCCTACCGCCTGTGGCCCGACCTTTCTCAGACCCTCAGGCACTCCTGGCCCTGGGCACAGCCGAGGGCCGGGTCCCCCAGGGTCGGTCCCCTGGGAGCCCCAAGCAGCTACTTCCTGCCCTCCCCAAAGACTAGGGATGAATTTGCTGTTTCACCAACATGGCCAGCTCGCTTTGTAGCCGTGTTCCCGGAAGGCCAGGGCTCTTCCCCTGCAGTGCGCCCTCCCGCCCCCTCCAGTGTATACAGTAGGGGTCCCCTGCCTTCTCTCCTGGACATCTGCTCCCTCGCTCCCAGTCGCTGACCTGTGTCCTGTGTGCCCGCCCCACTTTGCCTCCCTGCTCCCTCCATGGTGGCCTCCCCCAGCCCCCCCGCTCCCCGGCCACCCCCCATCCTCTCCGCCCATCATCCCAGACACAGCTCGGCCCCTCTGGTCTTGAATTCTGCGATGTAAATGAGTCACGTTTGCTCTCCAAGGCAGGTTTCCCACAGGTCAGCTTCTTTCCCACGGGGATAGAGAACCGCACACACACACACGCACACACACACATGCATACACACATGCACACACTACACATACATGCACACACATGCATACACGTGCACACAATGCATACACACGTGCACACACCTGCTACACACATGCACACACACACACTACACACAGGCATACACACACAGGCACAGGCACAGTGCTCATCTCCAGTTCCGCTGCACGGGAAGCACAGTGGGGACAGAGGAGCACACTGAGTGACACAGAGAGCACCCAATCAGCCAAACTGACCAGGCGGCGGCTTGCGCATGATAAACGCTTTTACAGACGTTAGCGAACAGTAGGCACGCTCTGCCCATTCCACAGATGAGAAAACCGAGCCAGCGATTCAACGCAGAGGGAGATGGGGGCGGGGGGAAGCTGCAGGCTGTTTTCTGACCGATTTGGCATGAACGGGACAGCCCATGCGTGCGGGGGAGGCACAGGTGCATGGCCCAGCAGTGAAGACCCCTGCGTTGCCCAGCCCAGAGCCTCTGCCCCCAGGGAGGCAGGAGGGATGGCTCCGGTGTTTGGGACACCCGGACTGAGTCCCTGGCTCCTGGCTTCGGCCTGGCCCAGTCCCCGGCGGTGTGGACATTTGGGATTGAACCAGTGGATGGGCGTTCTCCCTCGCTCTGCCTCTCAGATAATGGTTTTTGTTTTTAAAGGAGAGGGGAGTTAAAGGGCACGGACATCTGTGCAGCGGGCGGGGCAGGGCCGGGGCTTGTCCCAGCGAAGCTGAAAATGGTTTTGCTTCCTTAACGGTGCCTGGAATAACGAGGGCCCTGACAGTCAGCTCTGTCGATCCTCTCTGGTCTGAATTTGCTTGTATCTGCACAGACATCCCTGCAGTCCTGGGGCGCCCGTCTCTAGAGAGCCGGGTGGTGAGAGGAGTCTGGGTGCGCACGTCCTTGGGCCCCCATCACCAACCTCCCTGGAGTCTGGCTTTGCCCAAGACCAGGAGCGGCCCGGATGCTCCCGCTCCGCGTGCTGAAGGGGCTGCTTCCCTGGCAGTGCCTCCCCCTCCCCCTCTCCCTCCCCACCCCCTTCCTCCCTCTTCTCCCCCCCTCTCCTCGCACCTGCCTCTGCGGCCCTGGCTTTGTTGGAAAGGGAGGCACCCAGGGTAATTAAGGGAAAAAGCCAGAAGTAGCTGATGTCACTTCTGCCCGATTCTAACGCTCAATTAGAATTAAAAAAAAAAATTATTGTGTTTCTTTGAAAGGTGTGGTGGGTGGGGTGGGGCTCCTGTCCCCACTGAATGCTTCACTCCCCAAACGCCTGCAACAGCCAGGAGCCGCCTGCAACAGCCGGGAGCTTCATCCGGGCCTCCCGCGGAGCTGCAGGGGCCCAAGCACCTGGGCCGTCTGCTCCCTCCATCAGCGGGAAGCGGGAATCAGGAGCCGAGCTGGGACTGCAACCTAGACTCTAATTGCTGTGCCCAATGCCTGCCCCTAAAAAAACCGTTTTATTTAAAAAGCAAATAGTCAAACCGGTTCAGCGACCATTGCCCCCCTGCAGCTAAGACAGGACTTTGAAAGGGGATCCCTTGAGTTGGGTTCTTTTGTTTTAAAGATTTATTTACTTGAAAAGCAGAGAGAGAGAGATTTTCCATCCACTGGTTCACTGCCCAAATGGCTGCAATGGCCAGAGCTGGGCCAAACCAAAGCCAGGAGCCTCTTCCAGGTCTCCCACGCGGGTGCAGGGGCCCAAGGACCTGGGCCATCTTCTACTGCTTTCCTAGGCAGAGAGCTGGACCGGAAGTGGAGCAGCTGGGCCTCGAACCAGTGCCCACACGGGATGCCGGCCCTGCAGGAGGCTGCTTGAGGCCGAGGGTAGCGCGCGACCCGGTGCTGTGGGAAGCAAGTCAACAAAACGGGGCCCAAGAGACCCCCCCCCGGACAGAGCAGCCTGCCAGGAGGGAGGGGCGTCCCTGGAGCTGTGCCCGGGCTTGAGTCACCCGAGGCCCGGAGCCGCCTCTTCCCTACACTCCCGTTCCTTGGCCGTCTTCCGCCCCTCGCACAGAGGTCCCCGACTTAGGGTCGCTCCGCTCCGGGAGACTCCACTTCGCGATGCTGTGAAAGTGACGTGTGTCGGGAAGAAGCTCCTTCCACCTGAGAGTTCTGTGCTCTTCCTGGGCTGGCGCTTTGTTCTACGATCCTTTCCCTGCACGCCTGGGAAGCACCAGAGAGGGCAGCTCCCAGGCAGCCCCGGGGTCGCAAGAGGAAGCCACTGCGCCACCATGGGGCCTTCGCACGTGAAGGGACCTCGAGGCGGGCCGGGAAGTGTGCGGACCTTGTCTGTGTGTCAGCCGAATCTGCTCAGTTTGTTCCAGGAATGGGTGGTGGAGCAATGGGTGACCCCAAGACCTCATGGCGTAAGACAGCCTTGACCTCTGGGAGTCTGAGGGGCAGGAGCGGCTAGCCACCGCGGCCCTGTGGCGCTTGCCCCACTGCCACCTCTCTCACACCTGGGCCAGGCTGACCGCACGCGGCCCCTCGCTACGGCCTGGACTCCCCCTCCCAACATGGCGGCTGCGTTCCCAGCAAACAGGTGAACGCAGTGCCGGGAGGGGGTCCAGGCTGCGGGGAGACCCTGGTGCCGCCACGGCCCAGGTCGCACGGGGCCCGACCCCCGGAGTCACTTTCGGCCGCTGCGTTTGGAGGTGGCGCGGTCATGCGCCTCGCGCCGCCCCCGCTTGGCAGGGCCACTCTGACGCGTGACAGGTGGGCTGGAGGAAATGTGACGCGGCCACCGCCGGAATCCCCGCGGAAGCCGCCTTTCTGGCATAGACTGGTGATGGGATTGCCTGCGAGGCCTTTTGAACCTGCTGATGTCCCCGTGATGAAACTCCACCGCTAGCCAGGCGCTGCGGCGCAGGCCATTACGTCACGGCCTGCGACGCCACAGTCCCATATGGAGCGCAGCTTCCGCTTCCGGCCATCTCCCGGCCTGGGAGCTTCCGCTTCCGGTCCAGCTGCCTGCTCCCGGCCTGGGAGCTTCCGCTTCCGGTCCAGCTCCCTGCTCCCGGCCTGGGAGCTTCCGCTTCCGGTCCAGCTGCCTGCTCCCGGCCTGGGAGCTTCCGCTTCCGGCCCAGCTTGCTGCTCCCGGCCTGGGAAAGCCGCAGAAGATGGCCCCAGGGGTGGGGCCCCTGCGCCCACGGAGAAAGGCCTGGCCCAGCCCTGGCCATTGCAGCCATTTGGGGAGTGAACCCGCGGGTGGACGATCTCTCTCGGTGTCACTCTGCTTTTCAAATAAATAAAGGGAATTTTAAAATTCAGCCTGCCAAGGTCGGGTTCATGGTGACGATTAAGTAACCGCTTACTTGTTTGGTGTCTGACGGTGACACCTGTGTCTTCCAGATGTCTTCTGGATGGTGTGGGATGTGGTCACCGAGCATACGGGCAGACACGCGTGGACATTTACCGCGAGGCCGGGCAGAGCCCTGGGTCTCCGAGCTCTCGGGGATAACCACCCGGCCCTCGGCCCTCGGAGCCAGCGTGGCACAGCTGCCAACCGGGAAGAGGCTCCTCTTCTGGGTAGGCTGATTTTAAAGACGTGAGCCCTGTAGGGGACACAGTCCCAAGGACACCTGGCTTGAAGAGCACACCGTGGACTCGGTGCAGGCTCCACCTGCCTCCTTGGCCAGGTGCCTTTGTGTAGTGAACAACCTGTGCAACAGTTCAGGGCAGCCCTGTTGTCTGTCCTGCAGCCCCCTTCTTTCTTGGTAATCTCACCCCACAGTCTCCAGCAAGTCATCCACCGTGCTCTCCAGAGGAGACGGAAGAGGTCCCCTGGTGGCGGAGTCCAGCCGTGGGCTCACCTGCCTTGCCTCATGGGTGTGGGGACCCGGCTCTCTCACCGGAGATAAGGGGTCAGTTGCTGGAGGCCTGGGCAGGCGCTGTATCTGCAGGTGGCTTCCCGTGGCCGCCCAGGGTGATGGGTTGGGAGGCTGCCTCCATGGGGTGATCTGAGGTGGGGGCACCTCTAAGAAGTGGGGTCTGGGGGCCAGCCCTATGGTGCGCTGGGCTAAGCCACCACTTGTACCAGCATCCCATATGGGCGCTGGTTCCTGTCCCGGCTGCACCACTTCCGATCCAGCTCTCTGCTTATGGCCTGGGAAGGCAGTGGAAGATGACCCAAGCACTTGGGCCCCTGCACCTGCGTGGGAGACCTGGAAGAAGCTCCTGGCTCCAGGCTTCAGATTGGTTCAGCTCTGGCCATTGTGGCCATTTGGGGGAGTGAACCAGTGAATGGAAGACCTCTCTGTCTCTCCCTCTCTCTGTGACTCTACTTCTCAAATAGATAAGTCAGTCTTAAGAAAAAAATGAAGTGGGGCCCAGTGTTGGGGGGTGAAGTCACTGTGGGCCCTGGGAAGCGGTGGACAGAGATCTCACCGGAGCCCTGGGCTCATTCTTGCCAGAGGTTGTGATAAAAAGAGCAAGTCCAGCCCAGCCCCTCCTCCTAGGTGTCCTCTCTCGCTATGCGGCCCCGCCCCCTCACACCTGAGCCCCAACTGCAGAGCTGTGACCTAAATGAGCGTCTCTCCTGGGGCGGGCGCTGTGGCGTGGCGGGCTAAGCCGCTGCTTGGGAGGCCCCCATTGCCTGCTGGAGCGCTGGTTTGAGTCCAGCCCCTGCTCCTGCAGCCTGGGAGGCAGCAGGAGATGCCTCACGTTTTGGGCCTCTGCCACCCATGGTGGGAGACCCGGATGGAGCTCCTGGCGCCTGGCCCCAGCCTGGCTGTTGTGGGCATTTACAGAGTGAATCAGCAGATGGAAGATCTCTCTCCCAATCTCTGTCACTCTGCCTTTCAAATCAATCACTCTTAAAAAAAAAAAAAAATCTTTATAAAGTTACTCAGCCCCAGAAACTTTGTTATAGCGACAGAGAACAGACTAACAGAAGGTTTTCCTCAGCTTTCCAAAGGGACCCAGGACGAGAGTGACCCTCTTTTTGCTGCCTTTGGAAAAGGTTTGCATCTGTGTGTGACACCTGGATATGTGGCAGCCCTTTTGGGACCGTGAGTTGAGGAGGCTAAGAAGTCGAAGTTGGCACAGCCAGAAGCTCCATGCAACAGAGCTGCTGGGTTGGTGACCCTGGAGCTGCACCCCCTCTGGGTCCCCCGGGGAGATACTTGGATTGTGCTTGGAGCACGTGGTAGCTGGCACTCCTCTTGTCTGCAGCTCACAGCACTCTTCTGCAAGAAACGGGTCTTGGCCCACGTGACAGTGTGGGCCTCCCATGTCAGAGTGGCCTCAGCGGGCCGGGGACAGGCCAGCGTCAGTGCTTGAGCAATGGGGACAGGTCAGCATTAATCCCCACCCACTCCGGCAGGAAGGCGGCCTCAGGCTTGAAGATTTTGAGGAAGGGAGAGTCGGGCAGGGTGTAGTTGGCCAGGTAGATGGTGTCCCCGCCGGTCAGGTAGGCGGCCCAGATCCCAAAGGTGCCGATGGTCATGACGGTGTGGTTACACTGCGTGAGCAGCGCAAAGTCCTTGGCCGGCGAGCCCTCAAGGCCGTTGCCGGCGAACACCACATCCCCGCGGGAGGCGTCGATGTTCTCCCGGCACCAGGCCATGCCGTTGCTGGTGACCACGAACACCGGGGAGCGGTAGCGGGCCCGGAACCAGTCCAGCGCCTGCTCCAGGTAGCCCCGGTCGGCCACCACGCCCTTCCACACCTGAGGCATGACGCGCACGTAGTCGCCCCGGCGCACGTGCACCCCCACAAAGGTGCTGGGCCGGCTGCCGTTCACCCGCAGCCCCCGCAGGAAGGCCTGGGCCTCTTCCCGCACGTGGTCGTGCAGCGTGAACTCCCGCAGGATCTCGTGGCGCAGGTGGTGGTAGAAGGTCCAGGAGCAGGGGTAGCCCGTGAGGCGCACGTAGGGCGCGGGGATGTGGCGGTAGCGCTCCTCCATCCAGTCGTTGAGGTGGTAGTTCTGCCACGGGACCCTGCTGGCCGTGCTGCTGTGCAGCACCGGGAGGCTGATGCGGAAGATGGGGGCCAGCGTGCTGTGCATCTGGGCCGGGATGTAGGCGGGCCGCCCATTCTCCTTGGCCAGGGCGTACAGCGTGGCGTACTCGCCCATCTGGTTCCCCAGGCGGCCTATGGCGTTGATGGTCCACATGCCCCCGAGCGGCTGGCTTGGGGCCCTCTGGCTTGTGGGCCTGAAGGTCACGGCCGGCGTGAGTGCTGGCAGCAGCTCCTCCCACGTGGGTTGAATCCTCACCAGGCGCTGCTGGAGGTGGAAGATGGTGGAGGCGGTGAAGACGAAGAGGATGACGTGGACCATGGGGAAGGCGAAGGGGACCTGGGCGGTGCTCATGGCTGTCAGGGGAGGCACAGCAGGGATGTTAGTTAGCTCTTGGGAACCGGCGTGTGCGGTGTGCACGGGCGCCATGAGGGCGTGCGTGACCACTTGCCAGGCTTGCCTCTAGAGGGTGCATATGGGATGTGTACACCGTGTGTGTCTTTGCGAGGTGAGTATGCCTGCAGGGACCTACGCTGTAGGTACCCGTGAGGGTCCTTTGTGGGGAAATGGGATTCAAAGATCAGAACAGTGTTCTGCAGAAATGTTGATGTCCGTGCATGTGAGGGCATGCAAACGGTTAGTGGAGGATGCATATAATAAGAAAGCAATGCGTTGATTTCCAGATTGCATTAAGGGAAACTTATCTCTCTCTTTTTTAAATGTCTATTTATTCGAAAGGCAGAGGAACACAGGGAGAGAAAGGGAGAGAGGGAGAGAGGGGGAGAGGGAGAGAGAGAGAGAGAGACTGACCTCCCATCTGCTGGTTCACCCCTCAAATGCCTGCAGGCGCTGGGCTGCACCAGGCCAAAGCCAGGAGCCTGGCACTCACTCTGCATCTCCCACACGGGAGACCCGAGTGCTTGCGCCCTCACCTGCTGCCTCCCAGGCACATAGGCAGGAAGCTGGATTGGAAGCAGAGGCAGGACTCAATACCAGGCACTGCAATATGGGAATCAGGCATCCAAAACAGAATCTTTTTTTTAATGTTTTATTTATTTATATGAGAGGTATAGACAGTGAGAGGTTATAGACCTCTCTATAGACAGTGGTAGAGTTATGGACAGTGAGAGGAAGACAAGAGGGAAGGGTCTTCCATCCGCTGGTTCACTCCCCAAATGGCCACAATGGCCAGAGCTGAGCCGATCTGAAGCCAGGAGCCAGGAGCTTCTTCCTGGTCTCCCATGCGGTTGCAGGGGCCCAAGCGCTTGGGTCATCTTCCACTGCTTTCCTAAGCCACAGCAGAGAGCTGGATCAGAAGAGGAGCAGCCGGGGCTAGAGCCAGCACCCAGATGCCGGCACCGCAGGTGGAGGATTAACCTGCACCACAGCACTGGCCTCCAATACAGCATCTTGTCCTGCTCTGCCACAATGCCGGCTCCAAACTTACTTTTAAAATGTATTTTCAATGAGCTTCGTGAAGTGCCCTCACCAACGATGTGTGTGACATGGTATGCATACAAATGAGCAGTGGGTGAAGCCGCCACCCACTACACCAGCACCCATATGAGTGCTGCTTCAAGTCCCGGCTGCTCCACTTCCTATCCAGCTCCCTGCTAATGCATCTGGGAAAGCAGCAGAAGGTGGACCAAGTTCTTGGGCCCTGCCACCCACATGGGAGACCCAGATGGAGTTCCAGGCTCCTGGCTTTGGCCTGGCCCAGCCCTGGCTGTTGTGGCCATCTGGGGAATGGGAAAATCTTTGTGTGAGTGTGTGTGTATCTCCCTCCGAACTCTGCGTGTGTGGGCACACATGTGCACAGACCTTGCACGCGTGCACACTGTGTGTCTGTTGTGGGTGTTGACCGTCTGAGTCTGCCTGCGTGGACATCTCTACACGGGGAAGCAGTTACCTGCGGCTATGATTACTGGCCCCAGTGTCTAGGGACGTCCATCTTGTGTGTGCTCTGCCTCCGTCCCCCTGCAAGGGATAGGTCCCTGCCTATTCAGGGCTCAGCCACTCAGCCTACCTAACCCCCCACCCCGGCCACAGCTGACTGAACTTGACTTTGAAACCTGGCCCCACGGTGGCCCCTGTTCATTGACCACCAGCCTGTACACTGGCCATACATGGGAAAGCTGGATAGGGCCAATACGATTCTCTCTCCTGAGTGTTTTTAACTGAAGACCCTGAAGGCAGCTGGCAGGTGATGTGGAGAGAGGGAGCAGGGGTTGGAGCTGCTGAGGTGGGGGGAGCTGGTAACCCTTGGTAGCCGGAAGGTTCCTGAAGTCCCAGAAAAGCACCCAATATTTGAGTGCCTAAACAACCTGTTGTTTTCAACTCTGGTTACAATAGAAATGAGAGGCCGGCGCCGCGGCTCACTAGGCTAATCCTCCGCCTAGTGGCGCCGGCACACCAGGTTCTAGTCCCGGTCGGGGCGCCGGATTCTGTCCCGGTGCCCCTCTTCCAGGCCAGCTCTCTGCTGTGGCCAGGGAGTGCAGTGGAGGATGGCCCAGGTGCTTGGGCCCTGCACCCCATGGGAGACCAGGAGAAGCACCTGGCTCCTGGCTCCTGCCATCGGATCAGCGCGGTGCGCCGGCCGCAGCGCGCCGGCCGCGGCGGCCATTGGAGGGTGAACCAACGGCAAAGGAAGACCTTTCTCTCTGTCTCTCTCTCTCACTGTCCACTCTGCCTGTCAAAAAAAAAAAAAAAAAAAAAAAAAAAAAACAATAGAAATGAGTTCCAGGAGTAGGGTGGACGCACAGAGCAGCCCCTCAGGAACACCGGGACTCACTAGGGCGTCGCTGGAGGTGGCGGGCAGTGTGGACAGAGAACTTGGACCGGCGGTTTTCAGACCCGAGCAGTTCGGCTGCTGCCGGGGACTCCCCGCCCCACCCCTCCTTACGAGGCTAAGGCTTCGTCATCGCTGAGGGCTGCATCCGAAAGGGATTGGTGATCCTTGCTGCTCTGGACACACAGCTGGGCTGTGTCACCACAGTCACGACCCAGGTGTGGCCCCCGACAGCGAGGTCAGGCTCTGGGTGCTGGGCAGGGGCAGGAAACCAGCGCCTCCGAGGCGCGGGGCTCTCCCCAGGTCTCGCCAGCCCCCCTACCCCCCGCAGGTGAAGCTGGGGACCCCAGCTGCTCCGCCCCAGCCTCCTCCTCGGGAGCAGGAGGTTTTAACTGTGCCAAACCCTGGAGGCTTTGCTCAAAGGTCATGTCGAGACAAAAGGTTCCTGGATGGCTTGGTCCAAGGCGAGGGTCCTGGGCAGGGTAAGCACGCAGATGGCCACGGGAGAACATTAGCACTAAATCAAGCACGTGTGACCTGGCTGAACCTGCAAAGCTGCCAGAGGCAGGCAGGTGTGGCCCATTAGGCTTATTATGCTTCATAAGATTGGCACAGGACCTCACAATGGCCCCGCTTCCCAGAAGCCTCAGGGCCCGTGGGGATCTTTCGGGAGTCGTAGGAAGGAACCTGGCCTGGGCCACTGGCTCTGAGGCCTTTGCTACGGGTTGAGCCCAGCACGGCTCTCTCCCTCTTTGACTTGACTGAGAGCAGCTGGGAGGCTGAGTTCACCCCAGTCCAGCTCATGTTCCTGGATCCCTCAGTGTTGTCAGAAGACGTTTTGTCCACAAATTCTAAATCAGACTCCTTCCTCATTGCTGCGAAAGTGAATCCTGGGGCCGGTGTTGTGGCACAGCAGGCTAAAGCCGCCACCTGCCACGCTGGTATCCCATATGGATGCCTGTGTAAGTTCCGGCTTCTTCGCTTCCCATCCAGTTCCTTGCTATTAACACATCTGGGAAGGCAGCAGATGATGGCCCAAGTACTTGGGGCCCTGCCACTCATGTAGCAGACCCGGATGGAGTTCCTGGCTCCTGGCTTCCGCCCCAGCCATCGTGGCCATATGGGGAGTGAACCAGCAGATGGAGGACCTCTCTGTCTCTCCCTGTCCCTGTCACTCTGCCTTTCAAATAAATATTTAAGCGAATCTACACGCACCAGGCCAGCATGGAACGCATTCTGTGCGTCACACAGTGGCTGCCATGCTCCCAATCTCATCAGCTGTGGGACGCGGGGCGGGTGACTTTGCCTCTCTGAGCAATAAGTCGAGGCTGGGCACAAACACACAGTGAGCGCTTGCTGCGGCCGCCTACACAGCGGGGGGCTGCTGCTGGGTGTAGGCTCTGGGTCAAGCCCTGGTGGTCTCCACGTTTCTTACTGGGGGTTGAGACAGGCATCTGGACCACAGACCACAGAGCCAGGAGGAATCCCAGGTGACCGAGGCAGCCACAGGCAGCCCCACCCAATCAGGTACAGGTAAAGCAGGCGGCGCTAACTCCAAGGAGTACCCCCCATCCCCTCAATGAATTCAGGGAGAGGTCTGTGAGTCCACCTGCCAGGACTGATGTTTGGGTTATTTAAATTAAAAAAAAATTTTTTTTGGCTGGTACTGCAGCTCAGTAGGCTAATCCTCCGCCTGCGGCGCCAGCACCCCGGGTTCTAGTCCCGGTCAGGGTGCTAGATTCTGTCCCGGTTGCTCCTCTTCCAGGCCAGCTCTCTGCTGTGGCCTGGAAGTGCAGTGGAGGATGGCCCAAGTGCTTGGGCCCTGCACCCCATGGGAGACCAGGAGAAGCACCTGGCTCCTGGCTTCGGATCAGCGCAGCACCGGCTGTAGTGGCCATTTGGGGGGTGAACCAACGGAAGGAAGACCTTTCTCTCTCTCTCTCTCACTGTCCACTCTGCCTGTCAAAAAAAAATTTTTTTTTTTTTTTGAATCTTGCTGTATGGGACAGAAATGGTAAGATGGGAAATCAAGGGGCGGATTGTAATGAGGTAGCACTTTTTTTTTTTTTTAATTTGACAGATAGAGTTAGACAGAGAGAGAGAGAAAGAAAGGTCTTTCTTCCCTTGGTTCACCCCCCAAATGGCCACTATGGCCAGAGCTGCGCTGATCCGAAGCCAGGAGCCAGGTGCTTCCTCCTGGTCTCCCATGCAGGTGCAGGGCCTCAAGCACTTGGGCCATCCACCACTGCCTTCCTGGGCCACAGCAGAGAGCTGGCCTGGAAGAGGGGCAACCGGAACAGAATCCGGCGCCCTGACCGGGACTAGAACCTGGTGTGCCAGCGCCACAAGGCGGAGGATTAGCCTAGTGAGCCACGGTGCTGGCAAATCTGCTGCTGCTTTCCCAGGCTTCTTAGCAGGGAGCTGGATTGGAAGTGGAACAGCCAGGACTCGAACCGGCATCCATATAGGAGGCTATAGCACAATGCTGGCCCAGGGCCTGCTTCATTCTTGTCTCCCTCTGGAGCTGGGTCCCTGCCAGTATCAGCCTGCCCCTCACTTCTTGTTTCCCCTTGTCAGTGTTTCTGGGTCGGTAAAAAAGTCAACAGAGGCAGACAGGCCCTGTCAACCCATCTCTTACCACAGGGTCCCTGGGCAGGGAACTTTGTGTCCCCTTAAAATTTGTTTGCAGCAAACAGACAAAAAGGCCGGTTTGGCTTGGGTACACAGAGGGGCAGAATGTTCTAGAATAACGTCTCTCTGCCTCCTTACCTGGGGAGGATGCAGGAGAGGCCCCCACGCTATGAGGCTAAGGCTTGGAGAGAGGTCCCGTGGGCCATGGCCAGTGGCCTTGCGTTGGCTGTGAGACCCTGGACCTGGGTTCTGGGTGTCAGTGTCCCGCCCAGGGACCTGGGCCTTTCCTCTCTGAGTTTCAGTGTCCCACCCAGGAAGCAGAGACGGAGACCCCGCCCCCCTCTGGGGCTGTGTGTGCCACACTGACCCCCAGACTCGGACGCCCTGCACCCACGTTTCTGTCTGCCTTGAGCCAGGTCTCCTCGCCCCCACCGCACCCCGCCCCGCTGACGGCAGTAAGTCAGTGGGTTTCAACAACACCCATTTCACATCAAAGGGGACCGAGACAGGCGCGGGGCCACGTGGCAATGGAGGCGCGGATGCCTGGGTTTGTGGAGTGTGGGGGCCAGGCTGGGGCGGAGCAGGGAGCAGGCAGGGGCAAGAGGAGACTGGAGAGGCTCCTGCCAGCAGGGACATCCTGGCCAAGGCCACAGCCAGGGCCAGAACCCAGGGCTGTGCTGCTCAGTGTGTGGGAGGAGCCCAGGGCACTGTGGCAGGGAAACCCAGCTCCTTACCTGCCCTTGGTTCCGACAGCTGCATCCAGCGGCTGCATGGCAGCGGCGGGGAGGGGGCGAGGGTCTTCCCTGGAGGGGGTGCACGAGGAAGCCGGACCCACACGGGGCCCCCAGCTTCCTGGGAGAAACCCCACCTCCCGCTCCTCAGGAAGGGGCCCCGGCACCTGCAGGAAATCCCCAGCCTCTCTGCCTCCTTCTTGCCCCTCTGGTCCCAGCCCTCTCCACCCCTACACCGAGAGCCAGCTGGCCTGGGGGGCTGAAAGGTGGGTCCTGGCTGCTGGGGGTGTCCACTGCCCCAGCGACTGGGTTCAGCCCCTTGCAGCACTCTGCCCGGTGTGTGAGCCACAGGGGTGATGGGAGAGGCCCGCCACCCCCCCGGCTCTCACCTGGTTGTGGTCGCAGGAAGCGGGGACTTGTTCAGTGGCAGATTGGCTCACTGCTCCCTCCGGGTCTCTTCACCGGGGGAAACAAAGCAGCCGGAGCCCTCCTGCAGGTGTGGCTCCCAAACCCCGCCCAGGATGTCCCTGGTTTCCTAGAGCGGTGGGGCTGGGCAGAGGCCAGGTGAGTTTGGGCCCCTCCTCCTTCCCTTGTGCCTGCTGGGCTGCAAGCCAGGAAGACAGCCTGGAAGGGGCAGAGTCCAGCAGGGCCGGGCTCGTCCTGAGTCTGGGCACAGGCACACTGCAGGGCCCTGAAGGCGTTTATCTGGGGAGGCACCTGTGCCAGACCCCCGTTCCCCCTTGGCAGTAATTTCATGGGGGGTGGGGGAGGCACCCGCGGTAGCCCTGGCGTACGGAAGGGAACCCCAAGCAGAGAGAGCCGAGGAAGTGGCCGAGGCCGCACGGCTGAGGGCGGTGGAAGTCAGGGTCGGGCGCCAGGCAGGTGGGGTCGCGGAGAGCACCAGTAATGGCAGCTCCCGGTTTCCCTTATTCCGAGAAAACGCTCAGGAAATCAGCACCCTGCTCGCACCTGCAGTATCACAGGCTGCCGGTCAGGCACAGGAGGGACGCGGAAGGTCACTGGGGAGGAGACGGCAGTGTCGCAGCCACATACCCTGGCCCCGAGGGAAGCAGCAGGAATTCCACTGACCAGCTGTGAATCCCCCTTAAAAACAACAAACAGGGGCCAGCGCTGTGGCATAACAGGGCAAGCCTCTGTCCGCGATGCTGGCATCCCACACGGGTGCCTGTTCGAGTCCCGGCTGCTCCACTTCTGATCCAGCTCCCTGCTATGGCCTGGGAAAGCAGCAGAGGATGGATCAAGTCCTTGGGGTCCCCTGTGCCCATGTGGGAGACCTGGAAGAAGCCCAGCCCCAGCATTGCAGCCATCTGGGGAGTGAACCAGAGGATGGAAGACCTCTCTCTGTGTGTCTCTCCTCCTTTTTCTCTCATTATGCCTTTCAAATAAATAAAAAAATAAAACTTAAAAAAAAAAAACACACACACACATGGGGCTGGCACTGTGGTGCAGCCAGTTAACGCGCTGGCCTGAAGCACTGGCATCCCATATGGGCACCAGTTCGAGACCCAGCTGCTCCACTTCCGATCCAGCTCTCTGCTGTGACCTGGGAAAGCAGAAGATGGCCCAAGTCCTTGGGCCCCTGAACCCACATGGGCGACCTGGAAGAAGCTCCTGGCTCCTGGCTTTGGATCAGTGCAGCTCCGGCCGTTGAGGCCAATTGGGGAGTGAACCAGCGGATGAAAGACCTCTCTCTCTCTCTCTCTCTCTCTCTCTCTCTGCCTCTCCTCTCTCTATGTAACTCTTTCAAATAAAAAAAAAAAATAAATCTTAAACACACACACAAATAGAAACAACCCAAATCAGATCAAGGCTTGCACTCAAACCACCAGTTTCTAGAAAACAGGTAGATAAAGTTTCCTGCGAATGGCAGCTGTGAGCAGGCAGGCAGCGAGTCCCGAGGTGCAGCGGTGTGCAGGACAGAGGGCTTAGTGCCCTGGAGAAAAAGAAACCCAGGGAACGGCGTACAGTACACAGGGCGGGTTCTGGGCTTCCGGGCACGGGCGTGGATTTTCACCTCTCTGGTATCTGCACGATGGTCAAAAGTCACAGGAGTGTGGGGCAGTTCTGCTGATGTGGCTCCTGCCATCCCCCGTCCCTGGTCCCCCAAGTGCTTTGGTAGCCTCTCAGAGTCCCAGAAGGCCCCACGGGGACGGCACCCCCAGAGTGCTGCTGCCCTAATGCCCTAAGTCCTCCACCCTCGGGGCAGCACTTGGGGCGCAGTGGTTACGAGACACTGCCATCTCCAAGCACCCCTGCTTCCAGTCCTGGCTAGTCCACTTCCCAGCAGCTTCCTGCTCACGTGCCTGGGACACAGCCATGATGGCTCAAGTACCTGGGCCCCTGCCACCTACGTGGGACACCCTGGCTCCTGGTTTCAGCTTCGCGCAGCCCTGGCTTTTATGGGCACTGGGGGAATGAACCAGCAGATGGAAGATCTCTTTCTCACATTCTCCCTCAGTCGCTCTTTTAAGTAGATGAAAACAAATAACTAAACTTCATTAAAAAAAAAAAAAAAAAAGCCCTTTGCTCTCCTGTTTCAGAACCAGTGCTGTGTGGGGAAGCTGACAACCAGCTCTCCTGGGAAATGCTCGGGCTGGAAGTGTCTGAATACGCCCGCCAGAGCCAATTCCAAGCTCCCAAGGTTACCTCGTGGGACATGGGACTGGAACAAGGTGTGCAACAGGACCATGCTGTATGAGGAGGCTCGTTGCGGGGGAACCCCCAGGTGGTTCACTCCCCAGATGCAGGAGCTGCTGCTGGGTGTCCAGCCCAGAGACTCTGAGTGGACATCTCAGCCACTGAGCTCAACGCCTGCGAGGCCCCTGCATAATAGCCTGCCGCCCTCCAGACACAATGAACGCAGGTAACCTCCAGAGGTGCATTAGTGTAAGTGTAGCAAGACAACCAGGGCAGGCTGGATTTGCAGATTTGGTCCCGATACAGTGTATTCAGCTGTGAGTGCTATGGGGTTAGATAAGTGCTGAATGTAACCAGTAGCTTGCAACATTCCCAGCAAGCCAGCCATCAGCCCTCCTGGGAGGTGCACCCTCCATAGCTCAATAGGAAAATCACAGAACGGTGTGGATGGACTCCCCTCCCCCCAACCTGCCCCTCTGATTCCCAGGAGCCTCTGTCCCATCCCTGTCTCCCTGTCCCTCCCAGGGCCTCCTGGCTCTCCCGCCCCGGAGCTGGAAGGATCACTCCCATCTCTCAGATCTGACGGCCACTGCCTGGCCCTGGGCTTCCACCGGACTGAGCTCACCAGGAACTGGCTGTCCCAAGGGCCGAGGCTGTGTTCCCGGCCCCTCAGGGCAGGCGTGGAGAGAGTGGGTCCCCAGATCCAAGTCAGGGCAATGGATGTCCAACAAACGCACTTGCCGGTCGAGCCAGCTCGGAGCAACAGGCTCCGGAAAGAGAAATGCACAGAGAAGGAGGGGCAGCAGAACAAGAGTAAGAGACGCAGGTCGTCTCCCTTACGTAGGACTGCCATGGAGGGCTTCCAGGAGGGGGTGGCATCCAAGCTGAGACCTGAAGGGCACTCTCCTGCGAAGAGTCAGCTCCCAGCTGTGCCCCTCTGCCTGGCCAGCTCCTCAGTGCTGTGTCACTCAGCGCTCTGTCCTTGGGGCTGTAACAAGTGCCTGAGGCAAGCCACGGTGGGAAGGGTTATTCTGATGCACTGTTCTGCAGCCCTAATGGCTCAGCCTTGGGCGCTGCTAGGGGTTGGCAGTGGCGGAGCCTGAGGCATAGGGCGTGGCTGGGCCTAACCAGCTCCTGTAGCCTCCGGGGTGGCGCCGTAGGGATGCTGTAGCATAACAGGTAAAGCTGCCACCTGCAGTGGCTGCATCCCCTATGGGCACCGGTTCGAGTCCCAGCTGCTCCACTTCCGATCCAGCTCCCTGCTAACCTGCCTGGGAAAGCAGTGGAAGATGGCCCAAGTCTTTGGGCCCCTGCACCCATTTGGGAGAAGCTCCTGGCTCCCTGGCTTCAGATTGGTCCAGCTCTGGCCCTTTTGGGGAGTGAACCAGCAGATGGAAGATCTCTCTCTCTCTCACCCTCACCTTGCCTTTCAAATAAATAAGTAAATATTAAAAAAAAAAAAAAAGGCATTGAGCCTCCTGCTGCCTGGACGCCATTGCTGGATCAAGTCTCTGTCCTGCCAGTGTCTCTGCGTGACCCAGTCCTGTCCAGGCCAGAACAGGATCAAGGTCAGGGTGTGGCCCTGGTCTGTCCACAGAACACAGCACGCATTGTTCTGCACCAGGAAGAGGAGAACTGCAGGGACTGTGATTTCCGGAGTCAGGAGCTTCACGCAGGTCTCCCCCATGGTGCAGGGGCCCAAGCACCGGAGCCATGTCCCACTGCTGCAGAGGATCCCACCCGGGGGTCCCTCCCCCACAGAAGGGTGCTCCCCGCTCTGTGGGTGACGACGGTGAATGCTCACTGCCTGGCTCCACGGGCCGGGCATCTTTATAAAACAAATACCAGTCTATGGAGACATAATGTGCAGACTACACATCCTACCTGTTTGACACGTACAGTTCCATAGGGTTTAGTATGTTCACGGAGCTGTATGTGCCGCACCACAATCCACGAATAACATGTCCACCAGCCCCCGGCTGCGGCCTGAAGGTCATTGCTGGAAACTAATCCCAGACTCGACAGGGTTGAGAGGTGGGGCCCTTCCCAGGGTGGTTGGCGGTGCTGGTGTGCTGGCTCAGCAGGGTAAGCCTTTATACCACCTGGAGTGCTGGTTAGAGTCCCTGATACTCTGCTTCTGGTCCAGCTCCCTGCTGGGAGACGGCAGGAGATGGCCCAAGTACTTGGGTTCCTGACACCCATATGGGAGACCTGGATAGAGTCTGTCTGTCTCTCTCCTCCTTTCAAATAAAAATTAATTCATTAAGGAAAACAGGGGTAGCAGATAAAGATGCTGCCTGTGTTGCCAGGAACCCATCTGGGCACGGGTTTGAGTCCTATCTGCTCCACTTCTGATCCAGCTCCCTGCTAATGGCCTGGGAAAAGCAGCAGAGGATGGCCCAAGTTCCTGGGCCCCTGCACCTGCATGGGAGACCCGGATGCAGCTCCTGGCTCCTGGCTTCAGCCTGGCCCAGCCTTGGCCATTGGTCATCTGGAGAGTGAACCAGTGGATGGAAGACCCCTCTCTCTACATAACTCTGACTTTCAAATAAATAAAAATTGGGGAAAAAAAAAAAGAAAGAAAACCAAGACACTCCCCATTTCCTGTCCAAATCCTCCCCCCCTCCCCTGCCCCACATGCTCTCTGTGTGGACATTTCTTACAGCGTGTGGTTCTGTGGCCAGGCAATATTTGAACGCTCAGAGAGGTCAGGTCACTTGGCTGGAATCACACAGCTAATGATCGTGGGAGCCTGGCATGGGCAGCTGTGTCCAGGGCGTGTGCCCGTCGTCACCGCCCAGTGGACGAGCCCATCCCATGCTGGGTTTTGTGAATGCAGTGAAAGGCCAGGCTGACTTTCCTCGCTACTGGAGAGGCGTCTTGCAGGTGACCAAGCCTGTGATGTAACTAAGAATCACAGAAGAACTCGTTCAGTGAACCCAGCCTCGCCTCCCCACCCCACTCCCAGCTCCTCTCGTGCAAGCCAAAGGGGGTTGCACACAGACAGCCCACTTCCGGTGGAGCTCCACCCCGGAGAGTGACCACAGGGGCCCAGCCCCCCAGCCAGAGCGGTGCAGCTGGCGAGGCCGAGCTCCCTCTGGGAGGACGACTCTCGGGCAATCTCAGGGGGTTTCTCGGCCATTTCTGCAAAAGCAGCTGGGTCACTCCAGGGCCACCCCTGCATAGCTCTGGCACCTGTCCAGGTCCAACCAGACTCACACCCTGCTTGAGTCAGCCCCGGCGTTCCCTTCCTGGAGACTTGATTTCCTCCTCTTGCCTGGAACACAGGCAAGGCCAACAGAGCCCTTTAGTCCCCAGTCTGTCCTGCTAAGCCACCGTCTGTCATGCGGTGGCTGTGCAACCCACTCCGCTCACGTACGGTCACACTGGGCGGCTGTCACGAGGGACCCCAACAGGAAGCCACTCCGGCTCTGCCTCTGGCCCGCCATGGCCGTGCGGCCAGCAGTCGCGGTGGATGAAGGGCCCACCCTGCTTCTGGGTGACCTCATTATGAGTGGACCTGCAACCCGTCCTGTTTCCCAATAGGGCACCATTCCTGCGGGCCTGGGGCTTAGGGCTTTCGCGCAGGGATCCAGAGGGGTGGACTTCAGAAGTGTGTCCAGGCCTTGTCTGGGGGAACCGCCAGGCTTCCTTCTCGCCCCTCTGGTGACAGACATGGCGGGAGGAGCATCTCGGGGGAGCTGGCCAACTTCTGCTTGGGAACCAACAAAGGGTAAGGCGCTCAGCAAATATTTATTGAATGGATTTAGTGCAATTTATTGGTGGCAGCTGGCCTGGACAAAAGCAGCTCACTTCCTCCTTCACACAGGGAGGCAGCGCTAGGTTCCCCTGGCAGTCATGCCAGACAGAGCCAAGCACCGTGTAGGCCGTGACACCCCCCACCCCATTCCCAGCAGCCAGCCCTGTTCCAGGTCTCGCCCTCGGCACCTGTGGCTCCCCAGGAAGTATGAGAAGGAAGCAGGACAGCGAAAGGGTGCCCAGCTCCCCACCCCAGCAGCTCCTGGCTTTGTCCTCCACCCCATGTCCACGAGAAACATCCTGCCTTCTGATCTGGGAACCAACAAACCCTCATCCCGCCAAGCAGGGACGAAATGCAGCTAGTGGCTCAGTGTGGGTGCCAGGTGCCCACGCAGGAACTTCCCATAGCATAATACCAGTGCTGGCATTGGTCAAGTGCCCACGCCGGGCAGCAGGAGGTAGGTGCAGAGGTCTGGGTAAGATGTGGGGAGACCCAGGAGAAGGTGCAGCTCTTCCCTCCCGTTTCTGGGCCCAGCCCCACAGGAATTCAGAGGGCGAGGGGGCCCACGGGTGTCACCCATCAGCATCTTGGGGCACAACGCAAGGTGGAGAAAGTTGGAGATGAGATTTGGAGCAGCAGGGAGCTGGCACGCGGGTGACGTGGCTGCTGTCTGAGGTCTCCTTGACAGGGGGCAGGGTCAGGTCCCGGATTCCTCTCCCTGGAAGGGGTAGATTGGGAAGAGATCCAGGCTGAGGGAACTACGAGAGGCTGGTTCTGAAAATGGAGGGGAAATGTACGGAGGGTGGACAAGTGCTCGACTCCGGGAAGGGCTGGGCCTTTACGGCTGACCTGTGTTTCCCCAAAGTCATGCTGAAGCGCTCAGCTCCCAGCCACACCCTCGGGGTCTGTGTCTGGAAACCTGATCGGTATAGCTGTCATGAAAATGAGGTCATTAGAGTAGGAATGAATCCAACGTGACTGGCGTCCCTGCAAGAAGAGATCTGGATGCAGACACAGAGGGAGAGGATGGACGGCCATCGACAGGTCAAGGAGAGAGGCCCGGGGTGGATCCCCCCTCACCCAGCCTGCCAACACTTCGCTCCGGGACTTCCGGCCTCCAGGACTGCAGGAGCCCGGCTTTGCCAGGGCAGCCCCAGCGAGGCAACCCCCCAGCCTCCAACGCGGGCCACCCCAGTCCTCAGCCCCCGCCTGCCGGTTCAGTCCTCAAATGTTCACGACAGCAGAGGCTGAGCTGGGGCCAGAGCCGGAAGCCGGCGCGGAGCTCACAGTCTGGGTCTCCTCCTGGGGGGCAGGATCCCAACCACTTGAGCTGCAGTTGCTGCCTCCAGGGCCTGTGTTCTTAGGCAGCTGGGGCCAGGAGCCGGGGTTGGAGGCTGAACCCAGGTCACTCCGAGGTGGGACCTGGGAACCTGAACCCGCAGACCTGCTCCAAGGCTGTGGGTTTCTAAGAGGAGAGGCGGGGCTGTCTGACCTGGCAGGTGAGACTCCAGCTGAGGTGCCTGTGTCCCATCCTGGAGTACCTGGGTTCGATTCCTGGCTTGAGCCTACTTCCGGCTAACACAGACACTAGGAGGCAGCAGTGATGGCTGAGCTCCTGCCACCCACGTGGGAGACCTGGATCGAGTCCCTGGCTCTGGCCAACGGGAGGAGGGAGGGAAGTGGGAGGGGAGACCTGAACTAGGACGCTGTCTGCACGCGATGCCCTGGCTGTGTCACGGCCCAGCAGGGAGGCCCTCCTGAGAGGCAAGCACACCCTGGCACCATGTTTTGGGGCCCCAGAACCACATGTGGGATCAGCCTCTTTGTGTTATACTCCACATGGTGTGTGGGGCTCAGCTACAGTGACAGGGCCCACCCATCTGTCCTGGGGTTTCCCAGAGGGGTACAGGGCCTGGAGACACAGGCAGCGTGGGGTTGGGGGAGACCCCTCCTGTCAACCACTGTCCTTGAGGTGCCCACTCTGGGAGCCTTGGCCCCATGTCCTTCTCACTCCCCAGGGTGCTACCTGCACCCAAATCCCTCTCCCCACCCAGTGCAGGGGACTCCTCTCTCTACCAAGGGCACCTCAAACTCGGTGTGCCCTCCAACTCTCTCACGGTGAGGCCCAGGACACCCACAGCCTGGATTCCTCGCTGCCCGCCCAAACTTCTAGTTCCTCATTACTGCAGGCAGGGAACGGGGCCATCCGGAGAGGTGAGCACAGATCCCTAGGGCTGCGGGGAAGGGGACATGGGTGCCCCACTGTCTTACAGCCCCACACACCACGCACTAACGAGGCACCGGCTGTGAACGTACTTGTCAAGTTCCCCCAGTCGCCGCTGAGGTCAGTTCTGAATTATTTTTATTTTCAGACAGCAAATGAAGGCAGAGAGAAGTTAAGTCACTTGTCTCAGGTCCCTCGGCTACAGGTAGGTAAGTCTGCATTCAGACTCCGTGTGGGATCCCGGGTCCATGCGCTGCTCCCCGTGAGGCGTGAGGAGCAGGGAGGGACGCACACCATGCTAGAGGCCACTCCACAAGGCCCGCCCCATGTTGGCGGTGATGCCGACCCACTCCGGCAGGAAGGCGGCCTCGGGCTTGAAGACCAGGTGGAAGGGCGAATCTGGCGCGGTGTAGTTGGCCAGGTAGACGGTGTCCCCGCCGGTCAGGTAGGCGGCCCAGAAGCCAAAGGTGCCGATGGTCATGACGGTGTGGTTACACTGCGTGAGCAGCGCAAAGTCCTTGGCCGGAGAGCCCTCGAGGCCGTTGCCGGCGAACACCACGTCCCCGCGGGAGGCGTCGATGTTCTCCCGGCACCAGGCCATGCCGTTGCTGGTGACCACGAACACCGGGGAGCGGTAGCGGGCCCGGAACCAGTCCAGCGCCTGCTCCAGGTAGCCCCGGTCGGCCACCACGCCCTTCCACACCTGAGGCATGACGCGCACGTAGTCGCCCCGGCGCACGTGCACCCCCACAAAGGTGCTGGGCCGGCTGCCGTTCACCCGCAGCCCCCGCAGGAAGGCCTGGGCCTCTTCCCGCACGTGGTCGTGCAGCGTGAACTCCCGCAGGATCTCGTGGCGCAGGTGGTGGTAGAAGGTCCAGGAGCAGGGGTAGCCCGTGAGGCGCACGTAGGGCACGGGGATGTGGCGGTAGCGCTCCTCCATCCAGTCGTTGAGGTGGTAGTTCTGCCACGGGACCCTGCTGGCCGTGCTGCTGTGCAGCACCGGGAGGCTGATGCGGAAGATGGGGGCCAGCGTGCTGTGCATCTGGGCCGGGATGTAGGCGGGCCGCCCGTTCTCCTTGGCCAGGGCGTACAGCGTGGCGTACTCGCCCATCTGGTTCCCCAGGCGGCCCATGGCGTTGATGGTCCACATGCCCTCCCGGGGTAGGTGTCCGGGGACCACGACCACTGCGGGCTGAATATGCCCAGGGAGCCGGCACCAGAGCCAGGCGCTGGTGGCAGTGGAAGACAGTGGATACCACAAAGATGGTGAACAGGAAGTAGATGGTGGAGACGGACGGGTGGGTGGCCCTCAATCTCCTGGTGGCTGTGGGAGGACAGAGGACATAGTCAGGGGCGAATCTCATCCTTCTTTTTATTTATTCATTTATTTATTGGAAAGGCAGAGTTACACAGAGAGAGAGGGAGAGGCAGAGAGGGTCTTCTACCTGTTGGTTCACTTCCCAAGTGGCTACAACGGCTGGGGCTGTGCCAGGCTGAAGCCAGGGGCTTCATCCGGGTCTCCCAGGTGGGGGCAGGGGCCCAAGGACTTGGGCCAACCTCTGCTGCTTTCCCAGGCCATCAGCAGGGAGCTGGATCAGAAGTGGAGCAGGTGGGAACTCAAACCAGGGGCCATACCAGGTGCCGGTGCCACAGGCAGAGGCTTCACCCAGGACACCACAACACCAGCCCTGTGACCCTCATCCTTCTACCGCTCTCACTCAATCCACCCAGCAACCTAGTAGTGCCAGGGAGGCCTAAGGGTGGAGGCCTGGGCCTTTCTGCCTGGCCTGAGTGCCGGCCCCACTCCTCCCCAGTGCTGTGTGACTTTGGCCAGGTTACGGCACTCTCGAGTCTCTGATCCCTCACCTAATGGCTCAGAGAGGACCTGTGACCAGGTGGGACCATTTGAAAGTGCCAATATTCAACCATTATTGTGCCTATACCACTTTGCCATTTTTTAAAGATTTATTTATTAATAAGGCAGACCAACATACAGAGAGAAAGACAGAGACAGAGACAGAGAGACATAGAGAGATCTTGTACCCACTGGTCCACTCCCCAAATGGCCACAACAGTAAAGGCTGGGCCATGTCCCAAAGCCAGGAGCCAGGACTCCATCCGGGTCTCCCAGGTGGGGGCAGGCCCAAGCACTTGGGCGCATGAGCAGGAGCAGGATTGGAAGCAGACAAGCTAGGACTTGAACCAGTGCTCTGATATGGGATGCCAGCATGGCAGGCAGAGGCTTAACCTGCCGCGTCCATCACTGACCCCACCCCCACTCTACAGACCTCCCAGGACTGCCCCGTCACATCACTGACCCCCACCCCCACTCTACAGACCTCCCAGGGCTGCCCCGTCACATCACTGACCCCCACCCCCACTCTACAGACCTCCCAGGGCTGCCCCGTCACATCACTGACCCCACCCCACTCTACAGACCTCCCAGGACTGCCCCGTCACATCACTGACCCCCACCCCACTCTACAGACCTCCCAGGGCTGCCCCGTCACATCACTGACCCCCACCCCCACTCTACAGACCTCCCAGGGCTGCCCCGTCACATCACTGACCCCACCCCCCACTCTACAGACCTCCCAGGACTGCCCCGTCACATCACTGACCCCACCCCACTCTACAGACCTCCCAGGGCTGCCCCGTCACATCACTGACCCCACCCCCACTCTACAGACCTCCCAGGGCTGCCCCGTCACATCACTGACCCCACCCCCACTCTACAGACCTCCCAGGGCTGCCCCGTCACATCACTGACCCCCACCCCACTCCACAGACCTCCCAGGGCTGCCCCGTCACATCACTGACCCCCACCCCACTCCACAGACCTCGCAGGGCTGCAGAACTGAATGCGCGTATCTGGAACATTCTCCACTCAGCGCCTAGCACACAGGACATGCCCTCTGTGTGTTGTCAGAGACACTCCCAGAATATCTGCCTGCAGCCAGTGCTGTGCCGGGGCAGGGAAGGCGCGGAGAACGAGAGGCAAGCACCCTTGGTCCAGTGAAGGTGGGCCAGGGCACCCCTGCACATGGCATTGATCTCCCTGTGCCTCAGCCTTCTCCTCCGGGAAATGGGATCAGCCACAGCACCTGCAGCCACGCGTCATTTCCCGTCACTGCCTGTGGGTGGGCCAGGCTGGTCCATTTTTCTCCTGAGGCTGCTCTGCCCCATCAGACGTGACAGTGGCATGTGCCCATGTTGAGACTGGCAGTCCCTGCTTCCTTCTTCCAGAACATTCTCTGTGTGCTACTGCGTCAAGCTGGATAGCTTCAGCTCTCCCATGTGGTCTGCAATGAGCCCTTCTCCCAGGAGGGATGAGCAATCCACACCCCACACAGCCCTCGCAGCCCACGGAGGACAACCTGGTGCCTTTCAGAGCGGAACATCTGCATCACGCCGCAAGGCAACCCCACGCCCTTCAGCCACCTCCCAGCAGTGCCCCCTGGCCTGCCCTCTGTCACAGGACCCCGCGAGGGCTTGGAAGCGGCCTTGGGGTCTGGGTTTGTGCACTCCTGGGGGCTCCCTGCGTGGCTGTGCCAGTGTCCTCCAGTCCCTGGACCCTGGAGCTGCTTTCCAGGCTGCCTCCTGTGGCCTGCAGGAACGCACCTGGCACATTTCTGCGTGGACGGAGTTTTCAGCTCGCTTGAGCACCTCCCTGGGGCAGGACTGCTGTGCCCGGGCTGGCTGAACCGTGTCAGGAGCTGGCCCCTTCCAGTGCCCGCCCCAGCCGAGGAGGCTCTGAACTCCCGCCCCAGCCGTCACTCGCCATCATCCCTCTGACCCTACATGTCCACAAGGGGCCCAGCTGACTCTGCCTGGGGCAACCAGGCTGCGGGCTGTGAACCGGCTCCACCCGGTCCTCCTGCAGGGACGCTTCACACCCAGACCTGGGCCGTCCCCACTCAGTCCCCAGCACAGCCTCATGCCCTGTCTGTTCCCCGACCCGCAGCATCCTGTGGTCTGCCCACGGCAGGTCCAGTGCCTACCACTCAGTAGGTCCCCTGGGGCCTGGTGAACACGAGCTATGCCCCCAGCTCTTGGGACCTTTGCCACCCCTGCTGGCTCTCCCCCCCCTCTCCCCTGCCCCTAACCAGCTCCCGTCCTCGGCGCTTGATTGATCTGGCCCTTCCAGGAACTCAGCACACCTGGGTCCTCCCTGAACGCCTTGCTCTCCACCTGGTCCCCACCAAGGGCAGCTGGGACAGCATGGGTGACAGCACCCCTCCCCCCACTGAGGCGGACGACAAACCCACTGCCAACGCTCCGTTTTTAAAAAGTGAATTAAGGCCGGCGCCGCGGCTCACTAGGCTAATCCTCCGCCTAGCGGCGCTGGCACACCGGGTTCTAGTCCCGGTTGGGGCGCCGGATTCTGTCCCGGTTGCCCCTCTTCCAGGCCAGCTCTCTGCTGTGGCCAGGGAGTGCAGTGGAGGATGGCCCAGGTGCTTGGGCCCTGCACCCCATGGGAGACCAGGAAAAGCACCTGGCTCCTGGCTCCTGCCATCGGATCAGCGCGGTGCGCCGGCCGCAGCACGCCGGCCGCGGCAGCCATTGGAGGGTGAACCAACGGCAAAGGAAGACCTTTCTCTCTCTCTCTCTCTCTCACTGTCCACTCTGCCTGTCAAAAAAAAAAAAAAAAAAAAGTGAATTAAGTCTACCTGCCCCCCCGACCCCCAGCAAGCTGGGGAAAGCTGTCACACTGCCCGCCCACCTAAGGGTCCTGCCACGTGGGGGACAAGCCGAGCTCCCCAGCCAGCCAGAGCCCCCAGCAGGTCCCAGAGCCGGGGCAGGCGAGCAGAGCAGGGGGGCCCTGGTCACTGTCAGGGCGTGGCTGGAGCAGCGCACGGGCTCACGCAGGCCTCCGCTTACTAAATTCCGAAAGCTCCCCATTCCCCGGCAGTGTCCATCAGTCCCAGCCCCGGAAGTCACGGTCAGGAACGCCGGGGCTGGCGGCCGGTCAGCGCCACCACTCCTTATCAGACATTTCCCAGCACAGGGTGGCAAACTCCATGTGCTGAGCTCGCCTGGGACAACGCCTGGCCTGAAAGGACCTGTGGCCTTCTGTACACTTCACTCCTCTGGTGCCTCCTCTCCCGGGATGCTGACACACTCAATGCCGGGTCGTGGCTGGGACCTGCCCCGGCTGCCAGGTAACGTGCGGGTCACCCGCCCCGCGACAGAGCCGACACGGCTCATTCCCCTCCCCCAGGAAGGCACCTTTGACAGATGAGGAAACCGAGGGGCAGAGAGGCAGCGCCTGGACATGAACCCAGACAGCGCCCGTCGGAGTCTGTCAGGGCCCAAGATTCCTCCGGCAAGTCCTGGGGGCACAGCAGCCCCCCAGTTCCCCTCAGACACACCTTGTGGGGGACCTGCCCTGGTCACGGGGCCAGTGATCACGTGAAGCCCAGAGCTGGGGGTGGCACCATACGTAAGCCCCAGAGGCGGCTCGCTGGCAGGCCCTCCCCGCTCTGGGACACTGTGGGAGCAAAGGTCCCCAGTTCCCAACTTGGGGAACCTTCGACCCTCCCTTCCCCACCCCCAGGCACCCTCAGGGCTGATAAGAAGGAACCCCAGGGCCAGCGTGACTACAGCTTTGCTGGCCACTACCTGGAAACACCCGGGCCTCCTGCCGGCCCCAGCCCCTTTGCTACTTAAGTCTACAACCCACCCCGCTTCCTGCAGGGGGCGCTCGCTCAGGGCCTGTGGCCTGGATGAGAGCTGGGATCCTGTAGGACGCCCCCAGCCCCAACACCCCACGCCCCCACCCCTTTCTCTTGCAGCGAATCCCACATCGCCTCATGAACTCACATCTTCCAAATCCGACATCTTCACCCCGCTCCTGCCAAATCGTGGTGCCGGAGGGTCACCTGGGTCCACCCCCCAGGACAGTGGGCCTCCAGCTCTGGGCACCGCAGGCCGCACGGCAGCTGATGCCACGCCCCGGGGCACTGCTGTTCTCCGTGAAACAGGCCGGGAATGTTCTTTTCCCAAAGCCACGGGGACTCTGACAGCGACATTTGTGAGGACGTCCCGTGCAGGCCGCTGTGGAGGCCGCCTCCGAGCAGGGCCTCACTCTATGGGGTCCCGCTTTCTCCCTTGGCCACTGGAGCCACCGAGGCCGAGTGTTCTCTCTCTGCAGAGCCTCCCCTACCCCCTTAGGAGGCTACTGGGGTCTTCGGGCTTCCCAGCGGCTGGTCTGGTCCTTCCAGGGCTTGAAAGCGACTGACCCTAACCCACAGCTAACAAAAGCCTCCGGGTCAGGGGAGGAGCTGGTTTGGGGTCAGGCAAACGCCCCATCTCAGCGTGAGCGGCCCTGACCCAGCCCCAGGCCAGCCCCTCCCACGTCTCATCCACCACCAGTGGTGGGTCTGAGCCTCACCCTCAGGATCCGAGTGGGAACGCGGCACAGACCCCAGCCTCGGGACCCCCGGCCCCCGGCCGCCCCATCCTACCTGCCCGGAGCCTCCTCGGCCAGCTTGCTGGGGGCTGTTGGGCGGCAGCACTGCCAGGGGCGACCGCTCTCATGTCCCACGGGGTCCGGGTGGTGTGGCTGCCAGGGGTCCCTGTGGGGAGAGCAGAGCTGCGGTTGGCGAGGGGATTGGAGGGGGGGGCGGTGGTGTTGGATTCTGCAGTCTCGGCTCTGAGCTCCCGCCCAGAACCCCCACTAGCCTGGGGCCTGAGAACAGCCACTCGCCACTCCCTCCGGAGAGCCCACCGGAGCTCCTGCGGGAAGACGCACGGGGATCCGACTGCGGGGCGCTCTCTCCAGGGTGCAGGTTTGGCCAACGCCAGGCGCCTGAAGGCTGGGGTGGGGGTGCATGCCAAGAGCCGGGACAGAAGCCTGGGCTGCAGCCGGCCCACTGTCTGCTGGGAGGGTGGCTGCCCCTTCACTCAGGGGTGGGCTTACTGGGGCCCAGCGCGGGTAGGGCTGGGGGTTCAGCCATGGGCTCCTCGGTGGGCAGGGACTGGTCCTCCGGGTTCCCTCAAACCCTGTGGGACTCAGCCCGGTTCCTCAAGGTGCTAAGGGCAGAGGGTCGCACCGCTGAACTATCCCGCAAGAGAGAAACGGGGCATGGGAGGGGGGGTCCCTTAATGAGGCTGGGACTGAGGGCCTGGCCAACGCCTGCAGCCTGAGCGCAAAATGGCGCCAGGCTCCTGGGGGGAAGGCGGGGGGGGGGCATGCCTGTTTGGGCTGCACGTGGCAATGGCAGTGGGGACACACGGACTGTGTCCTCCCAGGCACCGGTTCTGGGGTAGATTCTGAGCCAGGGCCTCAGAGGGGACCGAGAGAGGCTGCCAAGGTCCCTGGTCCTGAGTGACTACCTCCCTGGGAGCTGCTGGCTGGGGAGGGAACATGGCGGGCAGCTCAGGGCCAAGTCCCTCCTGGCTCCTGCCACTCCGGGGCTGGGCATCTGTCACCCACCCCGTCCCACTCTCCCTTCCTGCCTCTCTGCTCTCCCTCCCTCCCGACCCACCACCCTCCACATCTGCCCCACCATCTGCTCAAGGCCCTGCGGCCCAGGGCAGGACGTGGGGCCGAGGTGATGAGGAAGCCCCGGGAACCTCACTCAGGGTCCTCATACCCCCAGCCCTGCAGGAACCCAGACATCTGCCCTCCGACCCCACGGGGCTCTGCTGGACTGCTCCCCAGCGTTAGGGGCCCTACTCTGTGGCCTTGCACCTGGGTGGGAAAGGGTTAAGGGTGGAGGGCTGGGGGTGGGTGGCAGGAGGGAGGAGGCAGGGCTGTTTGGTGATAATCCTCCTCCGTGCCCAGGGTGTGGAGAACAAGGTTAGGGCCCCACGTGGGAAACGGCCTGTGCTCTGATCCCGTGGGCCGGGGCCTCAGCCTCTCGCCTCTGATCCCCCGCGGTACCGCCAGGCCTGCCCTCCCTCCGGGGGGCCCCTGGCCGTCTGTTGTCCACAGCTCCCCTGCCCGGCTCTCAGCCCACCTGCCTGCCCCTCCACAGGAATCACAGAGCCCGGTTCCCCCTCCCTGAGGACTGCGGACCCCCGACTTCCTGTCTGGCCCCTCCCTAGGCCCAGGTCTCCTCTTCCCTGCCTTCGCTGCCATGGCTGCTGCCCCCTTCTCTGTGTCTTTGTCGCCTGTCTGCAGCCCCCTCCCCTGCCCAGCAGGACTGCGTCTCTCCCCTCTCTTGGTTTCCGCCTCTGGTGCAGCCCCTGTGCCCTCTCCCCAGGGCTCCTGCCCTCGACACTGACGGATACCTCTGGGGTGCTAAGCTACGGATTAGTTCAGGCAGAATTCTCGATTTCGCTTGCGTTCCTGCCCCTCTGGGTTATGTAAACAGTAATTCTCCCCAGATGGAACTATTTTCCTCGCTTCGGAGCCGCTGCTGCGAGGGGGCTCGGGCAGGGCTGGGGTGGGAAGCGGGGGCTCCACGGTCCCAACCTGGCCGCCTCTTCTCTGCAGGTGCGGGCCCTGCCGTGACATGACCGTGACCTTTGCCTTCTTGCTCCTCCTGGGCCAGGCCGCGGGGGACCCATGCTACTGACCCAGGGGGCCACCCCCGCTTCTGCCTTCCACCAGGTGACCCAGCTGGCCAGGGGCACAGCAGCCTCCTGCCCGCAGGCCTGCGCCCTCTCGCAGGGGACGGGCCTCAGTCCCAGGGCCATCTGCAATGGCAGCCTGACCCTGGCGCTGGGTGGCCCCTTCCTCCTGACATCTGTCAGCCTCCGCTTCTGCACCCCGGGACCCCCGGCTCTCGTCCTCTCTGGCGCCTGGGCTGCTGGGGGTCCCTGGAGGCTGCTGTGGCGCAGACCTGCCTGGTCTGGGGCCTTAGGGGGCCCAGAGAGGGTAACCTTCCGCTCCCCACCGGGCCCTAAGGCCAGGGTAGTGGCCAGTCACCTCCGCGTGGAGGTGGGGGGCTGGGCGGGGCTGGCTGCGGCTGGGGTGAGAGGCCGCTGCCAGTGCCATGGCCATGCCGCCCGCTGTGCCGCCCGCGCCCAGCCCCCACGCTGCCGCTGCCGCCATCACACCACCGGCCCCGGGTGCGAGAGCTGCCGCCCATCCCACCGAGACTGGCCCTGGCGGCCTGCCACGCCCCGGCACCCTCACCCTTGCCTGCGTGAGTGCTGGGCCCTGTTCCCCCCTGACACTGGCCTAGCCCTGGGCACTTGGTCCCCACGGTGGGGGCAGGGTGCCCTCTTCCCTCCCCACTCTTCTCAGTCTTGGCTGCCCCTACTCCCCCACAGCCTCCTCACCCCCTCGGCTGCCTGCAGTGATGAGGATGACAATGACCCCAGCACCCTGCCCAGGGCCTGGCCTGCTAGGAGCTTGGGGGTGTTGACTGGACAGTTTTAGGGGAACAGGCAGCCAGCGACTCCTGACGCCTCCAAACAGCCCCATGGGAAAAGCATTCAGTTATGAAACGCAGACTTATGGGCCACCTGTGTGCTGAGCAGGGACAATCACCAGGCCCATTTTACAGATGGGAAGACGGATGCTCGAGTTCAAAAATCCCTTGCACAAGGACAAACCATGACCGCATTAGCAGGGCCAGGATCTGAGCCCAGGAAGCCGTGTTCTGGGGTCTCCGCTCGTCCTGTGGGGTGGAGGGCAGGAGGGCAGCCTCGAACCTCAGCTTGCACCCTGCTCCTCTGCCTGTTGGCTCTGAGGCCTTGGGCCAGCGACGCGACTTCTCTGTGCCCAGTTCCTGCCTTGCACAGTGGGGACAGTAGCAGCACTTCCTTTACAGACTGACATGCAAACTCAGCGAGCCAATAACACAAAGCCCTAGAGCCCAGTGCGGGGCCTGGCATGAAAGCAGGCTCCCTAGAGAAAACACTGTCCCTATTGCCAGGTCAGGAAGGGGGGGCCCAGGGCACGCGGCACCAGGCCTCCGCCAGCCAGGGCAGTGCTGGCACTGTGCTCATGGCCCTGCATGCTGCCCACGTACTGGGCCACCAGGTGGACAGGGGGCCCCAGGAGCCGCCCAACGCCCTCTCCCTGCTCGGGGCTCCCACGCACAGGCACTGGGAGCCCCATCCCGGCCGCGGCCCTCCAGAGAAGGTGGGAGTGTGTTCTAGACCCCAGGCGGTAACTCTGCTACACAGAGAGACTCGTGTGTGTGCTGGTACACACGAGCACACGTGGGTACACGAGCGCACACACGCACACGTGCAGTCACAAGCGCCCAGATGCACACACTGACGTGCGTGAACACATACACAAGCACAGGTGTGTGCAATGCTGACATACACGTGCACACACAGCGACATGAGGCCCCCCGCTGACCCCCTGCCCCTCCGGCACGAAGGACACCAGAGGGGTCCTCACACCACACCCCGTTCTCACCCCCACTGAGGACTTCCCCGGAGGCACTGCCCTCCCGGCACTCTGCCCGCCACCACTGAGCCAGCCAGCAGGGCAGTGAGGGAGGGGGACGAGTAGCCTTCGTCACGGGCGTGGACAGGCCCGGGAGCCCACTCCTCTCGAGAGTCGCAGGTGTCCCCAGGCTGGGCTGGGCACTGAGGGGGCGGCTCTGGGTCATCGGTGAGGCTGCCCCGAGGCGGGGGGAGAGCAGAAAGGCTGACCCCCCCAGGGATGACCTGAGGCGCTCTACCACCGCTCCCGCCACAGAAACCCTGGAGAGGCCGTGCAGCCAACTGAGGCCAGTTCGGAGTGTCAGCCCATCCCACGGCTCCTCGGGGTTCCAGGGACTGACTGGCAGCCTGGGCCTCTCACGCCCCTGGAGTCAGAAATCCCTTAACCCTGGTCTCTCCAAAGAGTGGCCAGGCGGGCGCCCTCATCAGCCTCTCCTGCCGCCCTGGGCTCGCAGGAGCCCCGGGGCAGGCCTGGAGTCTGTCTGTGGCGGCTGCCTTAGACAGCCAGGAAAACGTGGGCTGCGCCAGCTTAGGCAGGGGACTTCCCCTCTCGGCGCCTCAGCGCCTCGGTCCTCAAGGGGCCATCGCCATGAGGATGCGGTGCAAGGCGCTCCGCGCCGAGACTTGCTCTGTGCCGGGCGCCGGGCCACGCGCCATTTCCTTCACGTGAGCCTCCTGCCGGACACAGGAACGCCACTCCACAGCCGCGGAGAAACACGCTCCACCCGGGGGTCGCCCGCCCACGGCACACAACAGAGGCAGAGGCAGGGTCTGGCTCCTCTCCTCCAAGCACAGCCCCGCCCCCGCCCCGTCCACTGGACAGGATGAGAACGGAGATGGTCTAGGACCCAGCTTATCACCCAGCGCCCTCACTGTACTTCCTCTCCCGAGGGTAGGGCAGGGGGAGACGGCTGGGGAGCGGGCCCTGACGCACCCCTCCCCACCTGTCCTAGCCTGCTCTTGCAACCAGCATGCCCGCCGCTGCCGCTTCAACTCCGAGCTGTTCAGGCTGTCCGGTGGCCGCAGCGGGGGGGTTTGTGAGCGGTGCCGTCACCACACGGCCGGGCGCCACTGCCACTACTGCCAGCCGGGGTTCTGGAGGGACCCCAGCCAGCCAATCACCAGCCGCAAGGCCTGCAGGGGTGAGTGTGTGCAGACGGGTCCAGGGAGAAAGGTGGCCACGCCACACTCCTGGGTCTGAGGGAGGAGGGCTGGGCTGGACCCCTGGGTCTGAGGGAGGAGGCGGCTGTGGAGTTGGAAGAGGGCATCTGGGTTCAGACCCCCCGCACCCCAGCTCCTCTCCTCATGCAGCCTGCCAGTGCCACCCTATCGGGGCCGTAGGAGGCGCCTGCAACCAGACCAGCGGGCAGTGCTCCTGCAAGTTGGGGGTCACAGGCCCCACGTGCAACCGCTGTGGTCCTGGCTACCAGCAGAGCCGCTCCCCCAGGATGCCCTGCCAGCGTGAGTCCGGGGGACAGGGCCGCGGGCTGAGTGGGGCGGGAGAGGAGCGTCCCAGGTGTGCAGGGGGGCTGGGCCCTGGAAGCAGCAGCCAGAGGCTGAGTCTGGGGTCCTCGAGGAAGCGGGGACTGAAATCCCTGCCTGCCCAGCTTGGGGGAGGGGGCTAAGGGCTGGGCTACTGGCTCTGGAAGAGAAGGGGGCGGGTCCACAGCCCCAGGGACCAGGGGAAGAAGGGCCTGGGGGCCTCCGGGGGGTGGGGGTGGCGGCTCGAGGCCTAGCTTCCTGGGGTGGGGGGCGAAGAGACAAAACTTCTCCTTTGGTCTCCCAGGAATCCCAGAGGCAACGACCCCCCTTGCCACCACCCCCGGTGCTTACAGCTCTGGTAAGAGGCGGGCACGAGACCCTCGAGCAGGGGCACGGCTGACTGAGTCCCCAGGTCGGGGGACAGGAGCCACCCGCTGGGCCCAGTCCCAAGGGTGCAGGCACCCCATGGGAGTGCGGGGACGGGCAGGGCAGAGGGCACGCGCCAGGCCTCAGGTGGCGACTGAAGACCACCGGACCCTCCCCAGACCCTCAGTGTCACAACTACTGCAACGTCTCGGACCGCAGCGTCCACATGAGCCTCGCGAGGTTCTGCCGGCTGGACTTCAGTGAGTGTCGGGCGCCCCGCGGGTCGGGGGGCTGCACCCCGCCTCCAAGCCAGCCCTCCTCGGGAAAGGGGGTCGGATTCCAGAGGGTCCTTGCTGGTGGGACACAGGACAAACGGGGAGGGGCGGGCTAGGCTCCCCGGCCTCCTCGTCCATCCTCCGGTCCTTGGCCAGGCCTTGCTGATCTCGGCCCCTTTCTGCCTCCCTCTGGGTCCCAGGATCCGAGCCTTTGCCCCACTCCTCGCCCAGCCCCAGGGCACACCAGCCCAATACCCTGGGCCCCAGCTCCTAACCCGGCAGACAGGCGCCCACCCAGGGGTCTCCTGCCCCCCAGACCCAGCCGGGCAGCCCAGCCCGCGACGCTGTCTCCCCCAGCTCCCTCAGAACGCACACTGTCTGAATCTCTTACTAGTACCTCCTCCTTCTGGTCCCCCCAAATACAGCCCAGGGCCCTTCCGCCTCTTTCCCAAGACCTCCACTCCTGACCCCCTTGGATTGCAGACCCCTGTTTGGCTGTGTCCCCGGACCCATCTATCATGGAAGCCCCCACGGCCCCCACCTTTAAAGTCCCCCCAACACACCCGAGCGCCACGCCCCCTCCGACAGCACGTGGAGCTCCGCCCCGTGCACCATTAGCCCCTCCCCGCCTTGCCAGCGCCCCTCCAGCGGTCAGAGACCCCGCTCCTCCCCACGCGGCCTGACCGCGCCCCTCCCCCGCAGTTCTCCGCGCGCAGGTGCTGGCGTCCGAGGCGGCGGGCCCGGCGTGGCGGCGCCTGGCCGTGCGCGTGCTGGCCGTGTACAAGCAGCGGCCGCGGCCTCTGCGCCGCGGCGCCCAGGACGCCTGGGTGCCCCACGCCGACCTGGCCTGCGGCTGCCTGCGCCTGCAGCCCGGCACCGACTACCTGCTGCTGGGCAGCGCGGCCGACGCCCCCGACCCCGCGCGCCTCGTCCTCGACCGCCACGGCCTCGCGCTGCCCTGGAGGCCGCGATGGGCCCGGCCGCTGCGGCGCCTGCAGCAGGAGGAGCGCGCCGGGGGCTGCCGCGGCCTGCGGCCCCCGACGCCGAGCCCCACGCCGGGCCCCTAGCCCAGCCCCTGCCGCCCGCGGCGCCCACCGAGGAACTTAAGGGCGACGCCGAGCAGCCGGGCCGCCTGACGCCGCTGACGTCACGCCGCGCGCGCCGGCTCTGCGCAGGCGCGAGGCGCTTCGCCCAAAAGGCGGGAACGTGCATGAGGGCGTTTTGGTCCCCGAAGCCCCTCGTTCCACCTGTGACCCACGCAAAGTTGTCCCCGTAATAAAGCCTCAAACTCTGGAGAAATCTCGCCCGGAGACCGTGATGGGTGCTGGGACAATCCCTAGGGGCAAGCGGAGGCCTAGAGTTAAGTGAGGAGCTGAAGTGCCGAGGACAGCGCCCCTGACAGAGCAGCCAATCCGCTGAAAGAGCTCTTCTGACATCACTGGGTGCTGGGCAGATGTGTGTTGCCTGCCGATAGGCCAAAAGCGGGAGGAGGGGCGTGGCTGGAAAAGGCGGGAAATTCGAGGAGGGAAGGGACAGCCGGTCTAGATTTCCAGAAAGTTCCACATTTAGGAACTTGGGGTTCCTGGTGGGCTCTCAGGATAGTCTCTGAGAAAGGAAGAAAGAGACTCAGGGATCTCTGGTGAGGGTTCTGATGGGGTCACCTAGCCACCCAGCCCCGGAGGGGCGGCGTCACGTGGTGCCAGGACCTCTGTTCCCACTACACCGCGAGGGTGGGCTGAAGAGCAGGAAGCAGCAAGGGCCGCGGGATGGACGGCCGTTGTGGCCTGGGGCCTTCCTTGCCACACTGACCTTTGCCCAACACCCATGATCAACAGCGGTTTCAAAATCGAGGGCCCCAGCCAGGGGAGCGACTGAGAGGGACCCCCAGAGCAAGGCGCATGTTTGGACCCAGAGAACAACCCTGTCTGCGGGGCTCTTGGCCAATGAGGAGTTGGCATGGGTGATGACGTCACTGGGTGCTAGGCAGAGAAAGGCGCCCTCCTGCACGTGGCTGGCTTTCCTCGCGCGGAGCCGGAGCCGGAACCTGGCCTTTGGCCTCCGGCTGGGCCCGGGTGAGGGCTTCCCGGTAGCAGGAGTCTTTGGCCTCAGCGTTCAGATTCGGTCCTTCCTCCCACCGCATCTCTGACTTGATTTATTAATTTATTTGAAAGGCAGAGAGAGAGAGAGAGAGCGCTCGCGCTTCCATCTCCTGGTTCACTCCCTAAATGGCTGCCATGGCCAGGCCTGGGCCAGACCCAGCCAGGAGCTTCATCCGCGTCTCCCAAGCCCTTGGGTCATCGTCTGCTGCTTTCCCAGGCGCATTCGCGGGAGCCGGACCGGAAGTGGAGCAGCCGGGACCACGAGCCGGCGTCCCAGGTGGCGGCTTCACCGGCTCCACGACAGCACCATCGCCTTCCTGCTCCTTTTCAGACCAAGCAAACCCTGCCCCAGGGCCTTTGCACTTGCTCACCTGGCTCCTTCCCCTCCTCAGCTAACAGCAGGCAGGCTCCCCTGCACCACTGAGGCGAGGCGAGGCTTGCCGGACACCAGGAGAGCCTGTTTCTTGCTCATGTACTGGCCTCCGTGGGGTTGACAAGACGGGGTTTCCCACTCAGACGTTCAAGGACTCAGACAGAGACAACGACCCCCCTGTCATCGCAGTGCCTGCCACCGCGGTCACGGGCAGGGAGAGAGCGCGCGCGCCGGCCGGGCCCCCAGGCGCCCTGAGTGTTCTGGCCCGGGCTGACTCCCTGCTGCCCCCCCCCCCCCGCCCCCCAGCTCATTCTTGGCTCAGGATTCTCTCGTGGTGTCTGTCTCTGCTGCACGGAGGTGAGGGCGTGGGATCCCCCGACGCCCAGGCAGGCAGAGGGACTGGGGAACCCGTTTCCTGCGGCGGCAGTATAGACGCTCAGATCCCGCAGCTGGCGTGCCACAAGTTATCTCACGGGTCGCTGAGCCAGCCCCACCGTGTCCCCGAAGCGGCCGCCCTCCTGGGCTCTGCTCCCTCCGCCTGCCCGGGTTCTAGGGCCACCCCCATCCCGGGGTCATGGCCCCTTCTCCCACCTTCAAAGCCAGCAACTACAGGGAGAGTCCCTTCCACACTCCAGGGTTCCCCTGCCCCCTCTCCCCTCCGCGTGGCTCTTTCTGGCCACAGCCCCTGCGTCTAAGGACCTGAGTGGTTAGACGGGGGCTGCTGGATAACCCCGAAGCAGCTCTCCATCTCGGGCCTTTAACCTGACTCACAGCTGCAGGGTAGGGGGGAGGCCGCACAGTCACTGGTGCTGGGGACTAGCGTGCAGCCGTCTGTAGGGACCACCTTTCTGCCCACCACCACCACGGGACACGGGCGAGCGTTAGCGTCTTCCAGCACAAACCTCTGCTCGGGTCTCACAGCATCGGTGAGGACTTCCCTGAGCATCCCGACTCAGGGGCACCCGCCAGTCTTTGCCTCTGCTTTCTTTTTCCTTCTGAGCTCTGTTTGTCTATTTTTTTTAGGATTCTTTAAATAATATTTCTTTGAAAAGCAGAGTGATACATATATAAAGTGAGATCTTCCACTCATGGACTCACTCCTCAAATTCCTGCCACAGCTGGGGCCGGGCCAGGCCAAAGCCGGGAGCCTGGAGGTAGTCCAGCACCTTCCAACCTTCCACTGTTCTTAAAATCATCCCTCATGTTCCAAGATGGCAGCCACTGCTCCAGACATCATATCTGTAGCCCTGTAGTGGAGGAAGGCACAGGAAAGGTCAGAGCCCACATGGCTGACTTACAAGGATGTTTTCCAGAAGCTGCCACACAACCTCTCTGCTGTCATCTCATTGGCTAGAAGTTCATCACATGTTCACACTGAGCTGCAGGAGACCATGGGAATGTGGCTTTCCACCCTGGGCTGTTTGGATCTAGCTAAATACAGTGTTCTGATATGAATGGGGTGGGTACTGTGGCATAGCGGGGAAAACCGCTGCCTTTGAAGCCGGCATCCACATGGGTGCTGGTTCAAGTCCTGGCTGCTCCACTTCCCATCCAGCTCCCTGCTAATGTGCCTGGGAAAGCAGCAGAGGATGGCCCAAGTGCTCTGGCCCTGCGCCCATATGGGAAACCCAGAAGCAGCTCCTGGCTCCTGGCTTTGGCCTGGCCCAGCCCTAATGGCCCTAATGGCCCAGCCCCCCAAATGGCTGCTATGGCTGCTGTGCTGTGCCGATCTGAAGCCCGGAGCTAGGTGCTTCTGCTGGTCTCCCATGGGGTGCAGGGCCCAAGCACTTGGGCCATCCTCCACTGCACTCCCTGGCCACAGCAGAGAGCTGGCCTGGAAGAGGGGCAACCGGGACAGAATCTGGCGCCCCGACCGGGACTAGAACCCAGTGTGCCGGCGCCGCAGTCGGAGGATCAGCCTAGTGAGCCGCGGGGCCAGCCTAAAGACTAGGTAATTTAAACATGCAGAGGCTGTGCCTCCCCCAGGAGGGGAGGAACCCAGGCCAGCGCGCAGATGGGGAGGATTTTGCTGGGTCCTGAGGCAGGGGGACGGGGTGAGGAGGCCGAGAGGAGCTGTGGGAACCGCGGGGCTCGGAACCCTGGCCCTGCAGCTGCCCGCTGGGAGCCTGGGAGGTGGGAGATGAAAGTGTGAGGCAGGGCGAGCCCCGTATGTCCCCTGTGACCCCCACTTTCTTCCCAGCGCCCGAAACGAATTGGCGTGAAATCCACATCTGGGCCCCACCTCCGGCCTGGCCGGCCCCTCCCCTCCGGGCACTGAGCCCAGTCACTAATGGCAGAGGCACAGGTGGCCTCCGGGGCTCAGAGGCCCCAGCCCACCTCCGGCACCGCCCGGTGCCCTCCCGCAGCACACAGAAGGGGAATTGGCCCAGCAAAGAACGGGGAGCCGGGGGGAGCCCAGACGAAGGGAAGAGGGGGCCGGGAGGCGTGCTGGGGCAGGGGAAGAGGGGGCCGGGCAGGGCCAGGGCAGGTGGGATCTTCAAGGCCAGGCTGAGGGCCTGGTCTTAGTCCCAGGCGCACTGGGGAGCCATGGGAGATGCATGAGCTGGGGAGGAGTCACCAAGGCCTGGCTCCCCGGGGAGCCCGGGGAGGGTCCTGAAAGACGTGGACCCTGAAGGACCCAGTGGGGCTCGGTCCCGACGGGAAAGGCCGAGGGCTGGGGACCTGGCGCAGGGCTGCCAGGGAGCCACGGCACCGGCGGGGTCGGCTCTGGGTGGGGGGCAGAGGGAAAGGGGAAGAAGATTGGAGGGGGAGCCGGGGGGGCAGGAGGAAGAGGACAAGTTCTGGGCCCCCCGGGATTACAGAGACACAGGCAGGCAGTTAAATGTCACCCACACAAGGAAGAGGTTTTTTTTTTTTTTTTTTTTTTTTTTGTCAATATTTATTTATCTGAAAGGCAGAGTTGGGGGGAGACAAGGGGAGGTCTTCCATCCAATGGTTCACTCCCCTACGCGCCCCCCAACAGCCAGGCTGAAGCCAGGAGCCTGGCGCCCCATGGGGGTCTCCCAGGTACGGGGCAGGGGCCCCAGCACCTGGGCCGTCTTCCGCTGCCTTCCCAGGTGCGCGAGCAGGGAGCTGGATTGGACATGGAGTAACGGGCGCTCCAGAGTGGGGCGTGGGAGTCCCGAGCGAGCGGCGGCTTGACCGCTGCACCACCGCCCTGGCCCCGGGGAGCCCCCGCCAACCTCCCTCCTTAGCAGTGTTTCTGCCTCTGCGAACGCCACGGCCCCCGTATTTTCGCTTCATTCATTCAGCATGTTCTGGGGTCACCTGGACATGCCGGCCCGCAGACCTCCGTCACGTGGGGACTTGCCCAGTGTGGGAGCGTGGGCAGCAGAGATCTGGGAGTCATTGTGTTTGGTGTGACGTGTAATCACGGAGGCACCTGGCCCAGCCTGGGAAGTCAAGGAAGGCTTCCCGGAGGAGGCGGGCACTGCAGAAATTCAAGTAGTCTCCCCAGACACATGGCAGGGCCTGCATCTCTGCAGAGAGCGTCACGCAGTCACAGTGGGTCTCTCTCCCGAGGACTCCTGTGTGGGGTAATGCTGGGGACATGGGGGGCAAGCCTGGGCGCCTGTCCTCTCTGGTGACACGTGTTTTCTGGAGGCAGCCCGGGGAGGCTTCCCGGTGGAGGATGAGCCTGCTCCTGCCCTCTCAGCACCCCCAGCTCCTTCTGCCTCCTGCTGTGCTAAAAGCAGTGGCAGTAAGGCTGGCGCCGCGGGTTCTAGTCCCGGTCGGGGCGCCGGATTCTGTCCCGGTTGCCCCTCTTCCAGGCCAGCTCTCTGCTGTGGCCAGGGAGTGCAGTGGAGGATGGCCCAAGTGCTTGGGCCCTGCACCCCATGGGAGACCAGGAGAAGCACCTGGCTCCTGCCATCGGATCAGCGCGGTGTGCCAGCCACAGCACGCTGGCTGCGGCGGCCACTGGAAGGTGAACCAACGGCAAAGGAAGACCTTTCTCTCTCTCTCTCTCTCTCTCTCTCTCACTGTCCACTCAGCCTTTCAAAAAAAAAAAAAAAAAAAAAAGGCAGCGGCAGTGTACGGCGTCACCGCGTGCAGGCTGCGCGTCCAAGACCACGGCGCTGCTCTCTCCAAACACTCCAGGGGAGAATCCTTCCTGGGGCTTCCTGCAGTCCTGGGCTCGTGGCCGCCTCACTTCTCTCTCCTCCTCCTCTGTCTCCACTCGCCCTCCATCTTTCTCTTGTCTGGGGTCTGGGGTCTGCCAGCGAATGCAGGCTGATCTCATTACCACGTTCACCACATCTGCTAAGACCCTCCTTCCAGGGAGCTGTTGTAGCGTGGCGGGTCGAGCCACCGCCTGCGATGCCAGCATCCCCTGTGGGCGCCGGTGCCTGTCCTGTCTGCCCCACCTCCCACCCAGCTCCCTGCTAATGGCCTGGGGAAGCAGCCGGAAGATGGCCCGAGTGCTTGGGCCCCTGCACCCGCATGGGAGACCCTGATGGAGAGCCTGGCTCCTGGCTGTGGCCTGGTCCAGTCCTGGCTACTACAGCCATCTGGCTAGATCTCCTTACATCTCTCTCTGCGACTCTGCCTTTCAAATAAATATTTATTTATTTAAATTAATTTATTTGAAAGTTAGAGTTACACAGAGAGAGAGGGAGAGGCATAGAGGGAGGGGGAGAGAGAGAGAGAGAGAGAGAGAGAGAGAGAGAGAGAGGTCTCCATCTGCTGGTTTACTCCTCAGATAGCTGCAACAGCCAGAGCTATGCCGATCTGAAGCCAGGAGCCAGGAGCTTCTTCCAGGTCTCCCACGCAGGTGCAGGGGCCCAAGGACTTGGGCCATCTTGTACTGCTTTCCCAGGCCACAGCAGAGAGCTGGATCAGAAGAGGAGCAGCCAGGACTGGAACTGGTGCCCTATGGGATGCCGGCACTGCAGGTGGCGGCTTTACCAGCTGCACCACAGCACTGGCCCCAATAAATATTAAAAAAAAAAAAAAAAAAAAGCAATGGGTCTAAAAGATTTCATGTAGCGTTTCCATACTGCACAGTTTCCATGAACTTTTTGAAGAACAAAATATTTCATATTTCATTTGGTGGATTTGTTTGTGTTTAACTTTTTAATTCCACTTCCCCGGAACTTTTTGAAGTCCCCTGGAATGTGGCTGCTGTGTTTTCCCCTCTCGGCTTGGTGTTCCCCGTCCCACCGCGTCCTAGCTGGATAGCTCTGGGCAGGCAAGTCACTTACGCCCTTGGAGACTTGGTTTGCTCACCTGTGAAATGGGTCGGCAACAGCCTCCACCAAACTGGGCAGAGACCGTTCTTGGGATGGAAGGGAGTTTGTGGACGATCCCTGCTCTGCGCTCAGTGTCTGGTTCCTCTCTGGTCTCCGGCGCTCCCCAGTCTGCACAGGTGAGAGTCCTGCTGACCTCAAAGCCTCATGGGGTTCTTAAAGGGGCCGTCTCTCTCTTGTTCTCCCCATCCGTGGTTTTAAAATAAATCCACCAGCAGGCACTAGGGCCAGGGGTCAAGGCCTGGGTCAGGACGCCTGCACCCCTAATCTGGGTGCATTGGTTCCGGCCGATGCAGGCCCAGCTACCGCCCGCTGTGGGCATTTGGAGGAGTGAATCAGAGATGAGGACTCTAATAAATACATAATGTAGAAATCAGCCTGCACATTCTTTGATGCCCCTCCCTGGGAGTGTGGGCCAGGTTCAGTGACTCAGGCCTGCAGCCCTGGCCAGCAAGGTAGCCGAGGGCCACCCCCAAACCGCCCACCCGACCCCGGATGCAGGGTGGCAACACCCCGTCCCTCCTGGGTGCTCTGTCTCCGTCTCTTCCCCGCTGGGGGTCTCTGGACCTCCGTTTCCAGCCTGCCCCTCCCAATGCCGCCGGCCCCTCCGTGCTATGCTTCCGGGCCTCGCTCCCTCTCTCTGCCTCTCTCCATCTCTCTCCCTCTCTGCCTCTCTCTCTCTCTCTCTCTGCATGGGAGGCTCTATTTATAGCTGCTGTGCTCTGTGCGGGTCTCTGGTCTCCCGGCCTGCAGCTCCCGGTGCGCCTCTCCCGGTCTCCCCCACCTCCGACGCGCCTCTGCCCCCGCCGCGGCGCGGTGGTCTCGGGCTCCCGGCTCCGCGTCCCCGCCCCTCGCTCCCTCGCCCGGTCTCTGCCTCCCTCTCCCGGTCAGCGGCCCTCACCGCACCCCGCGCTCCCAGGGGATCCCCTGGCCGCGTTAAGGCCGCCTCTGGCGGAGGACCGAGCTGCGCCGCGCGCGGGGGGCTGCGGGCGCCGGGGCGGGTCCCTCCCGGGCCGCCGCGGGCGGGGGAACCCCGGACCCTCCGAGGGCGGCGGCCCGAGCGCCCCGACTTCCGAATACTCTTCCCAGCTCCACCTTAAGCGCCCCCTCCCGCTTTCTGCAGAGGACGGGAGCGGCCAGCTCGCGGCCCCAGGTGTCCCGGCCACCCCGCCCCCGCGGCTCCGGGGCCGACCCCCGGCCTGCCCCTGGCGCGCCCCCCACCTGCCTGAGAACTGTCGGCTGCTGAGCGATCTGCACCCCCCGCCCCGACCACAAAAAAAAAAATAAATAAAAAATAACACCAAGCTCCTGGCGGAGAGAAGAGAGGAGGGGGAGGCGGGAGGCAGGGCCGGGAGAGGAGAGCCGAGGAGCGGCGGGAGGCGGCGAGGGAGCGCGGGAGAGAGCGGGGAGAGGGAGGCAGGATGGAGGCGCGGAGTTAGGGGGCTCGGGAGAGCCGGATGAAAGAGGAGCCGCGCCGGGGGTGTGCGCTAGCAGCCGAGAGGGGACCCCCGGGGCGGGCAGAAGGCGGGGAGAGGGTGCGGGAGGCTGCAGGGCTGGGGGCAGAGGAGAGGCAGGAGGCGAGGCAGAGGAAGGGAGCGGGGACGGAGTGGCTGGGGGTGGGGGTCTCGATCCCCAGCTGCCCTCGGGGCTCCCTGCGGGCCAGACGGGAAGGCTGGAAGTCCTGGAGGTGCAGGGTCCCAGAGAGAGGGGAGGGAGGAGCTGAGGGGGCCAGGGTGCTGGGAAGGGGTCGCGGCCGGGCCTTGTGGGGATGGGGGCGGCGGCTCGTCTGAGCGCCCCGCGCGCGCTGGTACTCTGGGCCGCGCTGGGGGCGGCAGGTAAGACCTGGGGGTCCGAGCCCCTGGGGGAGGGGCGGGGGCGCCCAGAAGAGGGGTTCAGGTCGCTCTCTTCCCAGCTCGCATCGGACCCGCACCTGACCCGGACGACTGGTGGAGCTACAAGGATAATCTCCAGGGAAACTTCGTGCCAGGTGCAGCCGGCGGGGACCCAGCAGTCCGCCCCCACCCCCAGACTCAGGAGTCCGGGTCCCCAGCCCCCTCTTCCCGCCCCCAGGACCGGGAGCCCCAGCCCCCTCCTCCCTCCCTCAGGAGTCCAGCCAGCCTCTGAACCCCAGCGGCTCACCATGGGACATTATACATGCGCATTTCAAGTAGTGAGTGGGAGTGAGTGGAAGGAAAGAAAAGTGTGGAGGTGGACAGTCTGTGTGTCTGCGGCGACAGGCAGGTCCTGGCTCCTGCTGGGACCCGCCCCCTCCAGCCCTCTGTCTTCTAACTTCTCTCCCCGGTACCTTCATTACCCAGCTGTGGGATGAGGCGCAAAGAACTACAACTCCCATGGGGCTCTGGGGCGGCACACAGTGGATGGGCAGGCCTGCCGTGCTGGTGCCTTCTGGGAGCTGTAGTGCCTTCCATGATCACATAAGCCGGGTTGGATCAAAGAGATGTTGGGGGTGAGGGGCGAGTCTTAGGACTATTGCAAGAGTCTTCCAGGGCCCAGGGTGCTGGATCCCAGCCCCTCCCCCACCTCAGGCCCAGCCCCTCCTCCCCTGGGACTGGGAAGTCCAAGCCACAGCCCCCTCAGCAGACCCCCCAGCGTGGGGCTGCACCTGCCATGTCCCTTCCTTCCCTTCTCTGGCCCCAGGACCTCCCTTCTGGGGCCTGGTGAACGCGGCCTGGAGTCTGTGCGCCGTGGGGAAGCGGCAGAGCCCCGTGGATGTGGAGCTGAAGAGGGTCCTTTACGACCCCTTCCTGCCCCCGCTGAGGCTCAGCACCGGGGGAGAGAAGGTAAGGGCGGGGCTCCCGCGGCAGCTGGGTGTGGGTTTGCAGGGGAGGGGTCTGGGGGTGTGGCGCTAGGGGAAGGAGGGGTGCCCACCGCCGGAGAGAAGCTCCCTGGCCGCCCCATCTCTGTAGAGGCAACAGAACATAGATCGGTTTCCGTGACAGGCAGCTTTAAATTCGGGCTAAACCCTTTAATCGTCCTTGGAATGGGGGTTGTGACTTCACCCTTATTTTACGATGCAGAGACGCAGGCACAGAGAGGTTGAGTTCCTTGCCCCGGCCCACCCAGCTAGAGTGCCAGCGCTGGGATTCAAACCAGGGAGCATGGTCCCAGTGTTCATGCAGCCGGCATGGCCCTGCACTGAGCCGCCCAGCCACTCCCACCCCGCACCCCCTCTCCCCCACTTGCAGTGCATGCGGGCACCATGGCCTCCCCTAGCCTGCTCCTTGCTAGCCTGCCTCCCTGCCTCTGGTGATTCACTCTGCACCTCATGGCAGACTTGTTCCGGACACACCCCGGATCCTGCCATCCGGGTAGGTGATGGCAAACACTGACACAGTTCCTACAGAGGCTCGGCATCCTGCACACTGCTTATTTATATAAAAATGCAGCTTTATCCCTCATTGTCCACAACACCCTGCACCACGTGGCCACTCTCTCCTTTGTACACTGGACGTGTCCCCCTCCCCCCCGGCGGGTCACCTCAGGCCTTTGCACTCGCCATTCCCTTGTCCTGCAATGCCCACCCCCCCGCCTACACTCCAGGTCTCCATTCGAATGTCACCTCCACAGGCAACACTTTCCTGACCCCCTTCAACCACAAGCTGGGGTCCCCTCCCAGCCTGAGCGCAGGGTGTGATGAATCAAGCAGTTACTTGCGAGGTGCACAAGGACGGTCCCCCTCGCTCACGCACGCTCACGCGCACCCACGGCTCTGTGCCTGGCCTCCGCTCAGGTCTTACCTGTCAATCATCAGGACGGGTACTAAGCGGCTGCCCTGGGGCAGCACAGGGCCTGCAGGTTGACTGAGTGGTTGTTGGACTTTGAGAAACCTCGGGGACACGGGCCCCCCTGAGCGCGTGCGCCTCTCCCACAGCTCCGGGGAACCCTGTACAACACCGGCCGCCACGTCTCCTTCCTGCCCGCGCCCCGGCCCGTGGTCAACGTGTCCGGGGGCCCCCTGCTCTACAGCCACCGGCTCAGTGAATTGCGCCTGCTGTTTGGAGCTCGCGACGGAGCTGGCTCCGAGCACCAGATCAACCACGAGGGCTTCTCTGCCGAGGTGGGGCCCCTGCCGCCCCGCCCCCGGAGCGCTCACCCTCCCCCGGCCTGGGGGGCCCCAGAGGTGGAGCCAGTTCTCTGCTCCCCTTCCGCCGGGGGACCCCATGCCCTGTGCGCCCCTCCTCCGCAGGTGCAGCTCATCCACTTCAACCAGGAGCTCTACGGCAACCTCAGCGCCGCTGCCCGCGGCCCCAACGGCGGGCCATTCTCAGCCTCTTTGTCAACGTGCGCAGAGGCCGGGCTGCGGGGTGGCGGGGGGAGGGAGGGCCTGGGGCGCGGTTAACCCGGGGTGCCCCCACGCAGGTGGCAGGTAGCTCCAACCCGTTCCTCAGTCGCCTCCTTAACCGGGACACCATCACCCGCATCTCCTACAAGAGTAAGTCCCTGGCGTGCTGCGCGCGGGGAGGGAGCACCCGCGGGGCAGCGGGGGCCAGAGGGGCGCCCCTCTTCCCTGTGGCCTGTTCTTCGCGCAGACGACGCCTACTTCCTTCAAGACCTGAGCCTGGAGCTGCTGTTCCCCGAGTCCTTCGGCTTCATCACCTACCAGGGCTCCCTCAGCACCCCGCCCTGCTCCGAGACGGTCACCTGGATCCTCATTGACCGGGCCCTCAACATCACCTCCCTGCAGGTGAGGCAGGGGTGTCCGCTGGCCGCCCGCCCCCTCCCCAGCCGCCGGGAGCTCCGAGGGTCCCGCGCGCCCTGGGGGTGGGGCTTGGCCAGGCCCCGCCCACCCGCTCGCATTCACCCCCGTCCTGCGCCCCGCTTTCCCGCAGATGCACTCCCTGAGACTCCTGAGCCAGAACCCGCCGTCCCAGATCTTCCAGAGCCTCAGCGGCAACGGCCGGCCCCTGCAGCCCCTGGCCCACAGGGCCCTGAGGGGCAACAGGGACCCACGGCACCCCGAGAGGCGCTGCCGAGGCCCCAACTACCGCTTGCATGGTAGGGCCCAGTCCGCACCCCTCCACGTCTCGCGCTGACCCTGAGCGCTCAGCCTCTTCCCCGCTGCGTGTCCACGTGGTACAGCCCGCCACGGGCCACGGTGCCCCCTTTCCTCTTTGCTGCTTGGCAAGGCAGCGTCCTGGCTTCCCCGCGGGGGTCCCGCTTCTGCCTTTTCCAAAACGGGACAGTCCGGATCCCCTCCCGGTTTCCATGTGGTACGTCCCACAGCGCCCCCTTGCTGGCAGCCGACATGGTACGATCCCTCCCCCTCCCCGCCGCCTCTCGGTGGTTCAGCCCAGCGAGCTGGCGGGCCCCCCCGGTTTTTCCACATGGTACGGCCCAGCCCCGCCCTCGCGCCCCACCCCCGCCGGGTGCAGCCCTGGCCACTCCCCGTAGCTGCTCGGCTTGGCACTTTCCGGCTCCCCCCGCCGGAGTCTCCTTGTGGTAGAGCCCGGCGCGGCCACGCCCACGCCCTCTGCCCCGCGCCCCTGAACTTCCGCCGTCTGTCTCCACAGTGGATGGCGCTCCGCTAGGTCGCTGAGGCTCCGCGTCCAGGATTGCGCCTGCCCGTCCCGAGCCTCCCCACGAGGGGAGGGAGGTCACCCCCAAAACAAAGCTATTAAAGAGACAGAACACTTCCTGCTTCTCGGTGGTCTGAGTCTAGGCGCGGTGGGCGGAAAACTTGGGTAGCAGATAACAGCTGCCGCCTCCCAGAAGCCAGTCTCTCTTCCGGAGCTTCCGTCCCCCCAAAAGCGACCCATCTGGGCACGCAGGCCTCCCCCGCCCCCCCCCAAAGAAAAAGACCCATCTGGGCACGCGGCTCCTTTAAGAGGCGCCTCCCCGCCCCACCCCCGCCGTCGGCAGCACGCGCCGGGCCATGTGCTTCCCCCTCCCTCCCGCCTCATTGGCCAGAACTGGGTCACGGTCCCGCCCCTGAGCCGCCTCCCATTGGGCAAATGTAGGTCAGTGTCCCGCCTCCCTCCGAGCGGCGAGGCCGCGGCACGCGCTCAGCCCCTCACGCGCCCTCCCGGGCCGCGGCAGATCCGAGGGCTCCCATTGGCTGCGGGTCTCCAGGGGTCGGGACGCGATTGGCCCGTGCCGGCGGCCGGAGGGAGGCACGCGGCCGGGGAGGATGGCCAGGGCGGCCGGCGGGGGCCGAGAGGAGGGGCGCGCGCTGTGGCGTCGGTGTTTTGTTTTTTTTTTTTTTTTTCCGCGAAAGAAGTTTGCTGTGGCCCCGCCTCGAGGCGGCCCCCTCCCCCGCCGCGCGGCGCACACCTCCGGGTGCGGGGCGCAGAGCGCCTTGCATTGCGAGAGCGGCGGACTTCGCGGGAGCCGGGCTCGCCCACCCTGCAGAGGCAGCGCCGCGGGCACCCGAGGAGCCGTCGCGTCGCCCGGGCTGCCGGGCGCTCCTGCCCCGAGCACCGCCAGGCCCCGTGCTGGATACTGGAGGCTTGCAAGCTGCCCTCGCCCGCCCCCGGGCCGGACACTCGCCCGAGCCGCGGCAAGGACCGTGCTGGTGACTGGCAGGCCCGCCCGCGCCCGCCCTCCGCCCCGGGAGCCCATGAGCCTGGGGCAGGTGCCGGGCGATGGCGCGGCCTCTGAGCGACAGGACCCCGGCCCCGCTGCTGCTGGGAGGCCCGCCCGGGGCCGCCCCTGGCGGGGATCGCTGCTCGGGCTCGCAGCCTTCTGCAGGGGACCAGCAAGCCCAAAGAGCCGGCCAGCTGTGAGTGAGCCCCCACCCCGTCTCCTCCGATCCGGACAGCCCACGCCCTGGGGCCGCAGGTGCCGCCCCGAGTGCAGGGACTGCGTCTCTCCGCACCTGTGTCTGTTCATTCTTGGGCTTTTAGATCCCTAGAGCCCCTTAGAGCCCAGGACCCCCCGCCCCAAATGCCGGCTCTGAAGCCCGTCCGTGAGGACCCTCCCTCTCCCGCCGCCCCAAGACTCAGGAGTCCAGGCGCCCCAGGCCCTGGGGCCCCTTTGGCTCGGGAGCCCGGACCCCCGGGTCCAGGGAGAAGGGAGGGGGTGTGTCGGATGCTCACACGGAGGTGACACGGGCGTGGGCGGAGCCTCGCGGGCTCACATGGAGTCTGGGGATGAGGAGTGTGCCCCACGAGTAAAGCCCCCTCTGGAGGGCGGGGGAGCCGCGCGGCTGTCAGTCTCCCGGCGCACCTGTCCCGGCGCCGACCCCCACTTCGCCCTGAGCCTCCGCCCCTGGCTGCCCTGGGCGGCTGTGGTCCGCGTCCCTGCCCCGCCCCCGCCTCGGTGTCCCCCGGGGTCTGCCTGTGCCGCCCCCGTGTCCCCCGGGGGTCTCCGTGAGCCGGGCCGCTTCTCTCCCATCTCGAGCCCCACATTCCCCCCTACCCCGCAGGTCTGCTGAAGGAGAAGGAGCGCAAGGCGGCTCCGCCCGCAGCCGCCGCCCCCGGGCCGGGCCTGGAGACGGCGGGCCCGGCGGATGCGGCGCCGGGCGGCGGGGTCCCCGCGGGGGCGCCCCGGGGCCGGGCCGGGCCCGAGTCTGCTGGCGCCGCTGCTGTGGGAGCGCACGCTGCCGTTCGGCGACGTGGAGTACGTGGACCTGGACGCCTTCCTGCTGGAGCACGGGCTCCCGCCCAGCCCGCCGCCCCCCGGGGGCCCGTCGCCCGCGCGCACGCCCGCGCCCTCCCCGGGGCCCGGCTCCTGCGGCTCGGCTTCCCCCGCGCTCCTCGCCGCGACACACCCCGGCCCGGGCCGGCCTAGGGGCCGCCGGCGGCCACCGCGGAGGTGCGACCGAGGGGGCTGGGCTGGCCGGGGGGCGGGTGCGGGCAGCGCTTCCCGTTGCGTCCGCGGGACCGGTGCCCCCAGCCCAGCGCTGTCGCAGCGAGGGGTGGGAATCCCTGTCCCCTAACGGATTAGGGGTTGAGGCTCTGGGCCCTGTGAGGGGACGAGGGCCTTGGGACCCCAGTTCCAGGAAGCCTGCCCAGTCCAGAGGCTGGGACGTGGGGGGGCCGGAGGTGCGGGGTGCGCCAGGCCAGGCGCCCAGAACTCGGACTGGCCGGGCCCGGGACAGGACCGCGACCGCTGAGCTGAGCGAGGGGAGAAGGCGCGGCCGGGCACGGACTTGCGAGCCTGGAGCCCCGCGTCCTGGTTCCCCAGCAGCCCTGAGGCCGCCCGGGGTGGGGGACAAGGGCCGGGATCTGCATGCTGACCTCCCGGCGGGGCGAGGGCCTGGCCGCCCGAGTGCCCGGGAGAGGAGGCGGCGCCTGGGTCCCAGTGGCCACGGGGCGGGTTCTTCCTCGACAGCAGAGCCGGGGACTAGAGCCTTGCGGGGTGGAAGATGGCGCCGAGAGCCCCCAAGGCGGAAGGGCAGCGGCGCTTCCCTGCGGGCGCGCCGGCCTCCCTCGGGCGCACCTGCCCCAAGCCCCGGGGCCCGCCCCCTCCCCGCCGCACACTCCCGCGCCACGTGAGCGCCGCCCGGCTCGCGGCGCCGTGCGCACGCGCGAGGGGGCGGGGCCGGGAGCGTGCGGGCGCCGCGGCGGGGGGGCGGGAGCAGGCGGCGGCACGTGACTCGGCCCTGAACCCGTGTCCTCAGCCGGCCCCGGCGGGCTCGCGCTTAAAGGCGCAGGCGCCCCTTTTCAAACCTGGCACCTGGGTGCCGCCTCCGCTGAAGAAAGCGGCCACCTAAGACCGTTTGGATGCGGGAGGTTCCTTTATTTTTTTCTGAGAAGCTTCGTGCCTAAGCTTTTGGGGTTCACGCTGAACCGTGGGCAACACCACTGAATCTCAAATTCTGGGGTTCTAGAAGCATGACCGGGTCTCTTTCCCTGCCCGTGGAAGTGGAGTTGGCTCCATGAGGGGTAGACTCCGGTGGCATAAGAAGCCATGCAGCGGTGGGCCTGACGCTGCATGCAGCGGGGGTGTCCGCTGGGGACCCCTCCCCAGGGTAAAGACGCAGTGGGGTGACCTCTCTCCCCAAGGCCTGACTGCTCGGGACACGCCCAGCCCCGTGGACCCAGACACGGTGGAGGTGCTGATGACCTTTGAACCCGACCCAGCTGATCTTGCCCTGTCAAGCATTCCAGGCCACGAGACCTTCGACCCTCGGAGACATCGCTTCTCGGAGGAGGAGCTTAAGCCGCAGCCAATCATGAAGAAGGCCAGGAAAATCCAGGTGCCCGAGGAGCAGAAGGTGAGCCGCCCGCAAGGCCCCCGGGTCGTCCCCGCCTGTGGCCGCGGGGCACAGGGAGGCAGCGTGCTGGGGCCGCGCTGAGCTTCCACTGTCACTTGGAACCCGGACTCGGTGTGCGGGCTTCCTGCTCTCCGTTGCTAAGGACCGGCTTCCTTAGCAACGGGATGTCAGCCGTCGCCTTAGCAGCCCCCAGGCCGGCCGAGGCGGGGCCCTTGACCTGGGGTTAGAGCAGCGCGGGTGGTTAGAGACTGGATTCTCCCCCAGGAAGCAGGCTTTAATTAAATGGGAGGGGAGTATCTTCCCGAGCTGGGTGGGCCTTGTCACCAAGGCAAGGTCCTCCTTAGCAACCGAATCCAGGGTTGGAGAACTGGGCACCACACTCCGCGGGAGGTCTTGGGTTCGGCCACCTTGTTAGGGCTCAGGCGTTCCGTCGCCCAGGTCAGAGACTAGCCAGCATCCTTAGGTCCACTTTGGCTTCCTCTGGACCCAACCCGCGGCCCTAAGACCCCCAGGCCCTGTTGCTAGGAAACAAGCGTCCCTAGCTACCTGCAGCCCCTGGGAGGCTGAGCACTTGGGGCTGGGGTCTGTCTCTCGGCTCAGCTGTTGCTAGGGGCGTGCTCTCCGTAGCAACGAGAGCCCCAGGCGGACCCCGCCTCCCCCAGGCTCTGCTGCAGGGCGGAGAGCGGCCCCTGGATCTCAGCGCCTCCCACTCCTCCGCCCCCAGGACGAGAAGTACTGGAGCCGGCGGTACAAAAACAACGAGGCGGCAAAGCGGTCCCGCGACGCCCGGCGGCTCAAGGAGAACCAGATATCGGTGCGGGGCGGCCTTCCTGGAGAAGGAGAACGCTCTGCTGCGGCAGGAGGTGGTGGCCGTGCGCCAGGAGCTGTCCCACTACCGCGCCGTGCTGTCCCGCTACCAGGCGCAGCACGGGGCGCTGTGAGGCCGCGCGGAGCTCGCTCGCCCCCTCTCCCCTCCCGCCCTGTGGCCCACGGGCTGGCCGGCTGGGTGCTCCAGGGACGTGATGATGCAGATAAATACATTATATTTTTAAGAAAAAGCGAGCCTCCCCGCCCCTCCTCGTGGGGGCGGGGAGAGTCCTCCGTGTGTGCCCCCGGCACTTTGGGGACCCCATCCTCCCACGCCCCCGCGGACACGGTCCTGAATAAATGTTGAGAACCCCGGAGCCAGCTGTCGTGGGGAGAAGGCAGCTACCTGGCCCCGGCTCGGGGCCCGCGGAGCCGCTGGACGAGCGAGGGGCCGAGGTCCGCGCGGAACGAAGCGGCTCCTTTATTGCATAGACCTTTTCAATTGCTTTTTAGACTGGGGACGAGGGAGACGCAGACGACACACAACAGGGGAATGGGCTTCCCCGCCCGCGCCCTCGGGGGCGGGAATATTAGTGCAAATCCGAGCGCTGGCCCGGGGGACCTCGCCCCTCCGAGCTGACTGGCCAGTTCAGTGGAGGCACCGGAGTG